AATTCTATCGTTTCATCGTGTCCCGTCTCTATCGGACGGACTGCGAGAACGAGAAGAGCGAAGTATTGACTTAAAGTCGACGTCGTGTTCGACCTCACGTCAAGTCGAGTTTCATACAAGAAGGAGATAATGCGGTTTAGTTATGGCGAAACAACGATAATCGTTCGCATCGAGACCATGGGGAGTCCAGCTCAACCCCCAGAGTTCTACTTTTGGGTCCGTGGTTTGGGTCCATGGGATCTCTTGGTCCCAGATCTGGAATGTTTCGATATCTCCATAATATGTCTGCAGTGAGCTGAAGGAATCTTTTGAAGACTGGACATTATTGGACATTACAGAGATGCTAAAAGTTGCTAAAAGAGTTCAGTTCCTTTCCATTGCACTGAGAGAATCGTAGCACAGGCAGTCCTTTCTTCACCACTGCCGAATCCCAAGTTTTGATATTGTATTCCCAAGCCAAATCGCAACGGCAACGTCGAGCTCTGGTCGAGCTAGCGAGATCGGCAAACACTAGCGCGAAGGCCTCGGCCTCGGCCGGAATAGGATAGGGCTGAAGCGTGAAGAGGCCGTTATTGTGAGCGCTGGCGCGCGTCATTTGATCTGGCACAGTAGGAGGAAGAGCCGTGTGGTTGTGTGTGCACCATTTCCCAGCGCGATGACAACGTCAACGACGACGGCGACGTCCCACCCTGACCCACCTAGAACGCCCCGACGCCACGCCGCAACCAGGGGGGTAAGCGTCGAAGTTGCGCAAACCTCCACCGGGAGGCAGGCTGGAATTTACCCCGCAGGCCGGCCAACCTAATGGAAACAAGAAATTGCGGCAAACTGCGTTACCCACGCCTCGACGCCCCGTAAATATCGCGCCAACGACGCCGCCGCTGCCGACGGCGCGGGGCACCTCGTCTCTCCTCCCCTCTCGAGGTTCTCAAAGAGACGCCTCGATGGATACACCGGCGAGTCGCCGAGGGTCGCCGAGGGTCACCCTAAGTGACGCAAATTGTTTGTGCAGAAACTGCCCCCGCTACGTTACGTCGGCGGGGTAAGAATCTTGGGATAACGGAGTGCACGCAGTGCGCCTTGGCGTAAGATGCTTTTCTAAAATATGCAACTTACGGCGTGCAAATCGGTGGAAGTAGAAAATACAACGGACATAAATTGACAAATTCAAGGCGCGAGGGAACGAAGGAGAGGAGCGTTCTCGGGATGCGCCTCGCGAGCGAGCCGAAGATGGCCTGGAGAGACGGCGGTAGCCGAATGGAAAAGGAATCGCGCGTATTTATCTAGCATCTCTGATAATCGAGTTATCTCCCAGCCGGCGCTGCTTTCTTTCCATTCGATTCGACGATTGTGGAGAGACGAGCGGCGATACTTTCGAGTGACCGAGCACTCCCGCTGCAATTTATCCGCGCGGACTCTTGGGGGAGTTCCGCGTGTTTGCGGACGACGTTTCACTCGCCGGCTAACGAAGTCGAGCTTCTGTCATTACACGTCGCCAAGTCAGTGTATCCGAGAATGTAATCACGAGCGTAATTGGTGGTATTATTTTCTGTGGATATAATAGGAAAAGAACAGAGACCGGATCCAAGATGGCGATCGATCTCACTCGGTCTCGTGTGGTGTATTTATTTCAAGTCCAACGGATTGAGGTTAACACGCGTAGGAACGCGCGAGCAGAAACTTCTCTCCACACTTCCAACAGACTTCCGTTTAACTTGGCGTAATGTTGGAATACTGAATTGCAACCCGCGAATGTCACAATTCACGAGACGTAAATTAAATCGAATTAACCGCGCTCGAACCGACTTGCCGATCCGGCGACCAAGCATCCTCCACCGTGAACGGGCGGCGAGTCGCCAGTCATTCCGCCGAATGATAGTCGCTATTTTATCGCGCCGAAACAATCCGGTTAAGCCGACAATTTCATCCACAATTACGAAGTTTGTTGCGCCGGCGGTAGAAATCTACGCAGGGGTGGCAGGATCGGGCGAGGGCGCGGGGGCGCGGTGCAGAACAAGGAGGCAAAATCCATCTGGTGATTTCACAGGCAATTATGCCGCGTCGCCGTGGCCGGGCGCGGCTGGCTTACTCTTATTTAACGCCAATGTGCGCGCGCGAAGCACGCCTCGCCGACCACCGGCGTGAATCGCCCGCCGCTATCCCATTTGCGCGAAATTGTCAATGATAGAATGGCGCCGCGGGATCGAAAGCCCCGCATTCAGCGTCCTCCCCGCGTGCCACCCCCGCGGCATTCTCTCCTTTTCCTTTTTTTCGCAGCGTTCCTTCTTCCGCTCGCACTCTTTCCGACCCAAAAAGCGCACCACGGCTTGCCCCTCCTCCGTCGGTTCAGCCCCCTCCCCGCTTTCCCCTTCCGCCGCGGGGACTTTCGCGAACCGTCCCTCCGCCGATTTTAACGAGACTCTGTAAATTTTTTACGGCAAATAAATGCTGCGTTTATATATAATTTCTGGATATTTTCTCGGGAAATTTTTAAGCCGAGTACCGAGCAGGCACCTCCCCCTCCCCTAAATTATATACAATGCGGGAGAAACTGCTTTTCATAGCGCACTCGCACCGAGAGGGGGTGAGATCATTCGGTATCTCAAGATTGGTTCGTGAGATTACATCCTGGCGGAGCGTGATGTTTCTTGTTAAGTTTTCGTAATTGCACGAGCGAATTGCCGTTTCTGTCGCCACGGGGTCGCAGAGGCAATCGCGACAGCCCCGAAGAAGGCTGTCGCGCTCTTCTTTTTGTCGCTGCGCGAAACTCCCTCGCATCCGCGGGTGAAAACGCACGCGAACTCGTGCTCGCGATTATTGCCCGGCATTCGCTATCTTCGAAAGCGTACTTGCATGCTACTTCGTAGCGATTTGCATGAACAAATTCGGCGGATCTCCTCTCGTCTGTCCTCGCGCTCGTGCGAAGTCGAAGAAGCAATCTGCCGAAAAGCGTTAATACTGTTTTGCTAATTTGTATGTCTTCTTTCGTGTTGGTACGTCCTTGAACTTTCTTCATACGACTCTACCTAATAATCTTCAATACGACTCATTATCATTCCGTCACCTCAACTCAGGTTCTGAACCTGAGGAAACCTGAAGGAACCTGAAGGGTTCCTAAATTCTCCGCCAACCACACATCACCATATTCCACCTATTGTACTTTTTCTACGAAAGCAGGAAAGAGAATCCGAAATTCCACTGTCCTGAAGAAGTCACCGGCTTTTTCCAACAACATGGCCGCTCCGTTCTTCCATTTCTCAGATCTCGTACCCCTCGCCTGAATAACCGCCTATTTCCCTTATATTCTTGCATCTGTACACCTTCGTCTTCCTATAGCCCGGCTCCTTCCCGCCTTCCTCTCGTAGCTTCCTTCTCCTTCGCTGAAGAACGGGAATTTGTTGCCGTTGCACGAAGTCGAGTTTTCCGAATGTCGCCAGCGCCAATGGGATTAGCGCCGCGAGAAGCGGTAATCAGGAATAAAAATGCGTCAACCGGCGGCATTTACGCTAACTAATCTCCTTCGGCAGGCGGAGAGGCGCTAACGGAGTTAGCTAGTCGGCTTCGTCGTCCAACGGCTCTCCCCCCCCTCCCGCTCTTCGTGTCGCTCGACCGTCGCTTGTTAGCCGAGTAATTGGCCATTTTTATGCTAAGCAGAGCTACCATCGACGTCGTCGTCGTCGTCGACGTCGTCACCTTCTTCGTCTTCGTCGTCCTCCTTCTCCTCCTCCTTTTCCTCTTCCTCATCCTCGGCGTCCTCTTCATCGGCGTCACCATGGCACCCCTCACATTTCGCGCCTCTTTCTCCCGTTATTCCGCGGCTTAACCCTGCGCGAACAGCGCGAGCCCCCTTTTTCGTCACGACCTCCGCGCAGGAACATATTCTTCGTCCACAGATATCAAGACCAGTAGACACACACGAAAATTTATGGAAACCCCTGATCGTCAGCACACCTCTAACTCGACATAAGCATCAAAGGGCGGACTCGCGGACACGAGAGTTAACTCTCAACAGCCGATGCGATCTCATTCACGCTAATAAATTCATTATCTGTCTGCTGTGAGGGATGGAGGCAGAGGAATGCGCTTCCCGGTCTCAGTCGAGGGAGGCCCACTTTTCCTCTCCTTAAGTGGCATAAGTGGCGAGCGTAATCCGGATGCTCGTGCGCCTCCCGCGAAACTCCGTCTGCGACTCGACGAGCTCTCTCCTCCGGCTTAGCACCGGCAACTTTTCGTATTAATAATCGGTATAATAATTAGTATTTTCACGCGCGACTTAGCAGGAAGGACGCGCCGGCGTCGACGTCGGCGTCTCGGCATCTCTCTCTCTCTCTCTCTCCCTCTCTCTCTCTCTCTCTCTCTCTCTCTCTCTCTCTCTCTCTCTCTCTCTCTCTCTCTCTCTCTCTCTCTCTCTCTCTCGGTGCTGGGAAGTTCGCCTGAGATCTTGATTTTAAGTTCGCCAGAGCGAAGGAGGCGCATATTTCACCGCGCTAATGTCCCGCCAGATAAACTACAATATTAGCTGCCTTCGCCCGTGATTTAATTTAACTTTGCCCCGGCGCGACATCCGCCCTGAGTATTTCGCCTACGAGCCGTTCGCCGTCGCCGCGGTTCACGTCGGGTTTACCCGTTACAATCTCTATCGCGAATTGGAGTAGGTGCGAATTCCCAACGGGGAAAGATCGGCTCCTCAAGCTCGCCCGGAGTATGTCCGGCCGAGAGAAAACGCGGTAAGGTCTTAGGAGAGACACGCGTGTAATTGTCGCCTGACTTCCACCTTAGCTCGGGGATTGAAACACAAAATGTTGTATCTTGAAAAATATACATTTCTGTTTCTCCTTCTTAAATAAAAATATTTTCTGTGTTTTTGTGACAGTATCCCTTAGCTCGTGTTAACAGAAATTTACTTATAAAACTAAAATTTACTTATAAAACAGAAATTTACTTATAAAACCTTGTGGGGAAATACAATTACGACCGAATGAAAGCCGGAAATTATTTATATTACCTATTTTATTTTTGTAAAATGCATTCTCAACAGTACGTACACCCTTTATTGATTTTGATATATAAAAATATGTTCACAGACTCGTAGGAAAACGCGCGCAGAGAAGTCCTGATTAACATCCCTGCGACTAAGCCAATGTCGCCTTCTGGTTCTTCAGGACATCTTCCACATACGTATCGTCCTTGGAGAACCTGGCGTAGCTGCAACAGCAGAACGACGCGAACGTAATGACGAACACTCCATAGAGAAGAAAGAAATTCGATGCAGTTTCTTCTTACGAGCTCGTCTTCTCTTTTCATCGATATCTACTTACATTTTGATGTATTTGGACTTTTCCGCGGCCGACAAGGACGGCCTCGTCGACTTAATGGACTCTACGAGATGCGTCTGCACGACTTTGATGTCGGATGCATCGATTTTCCCGTCCTACCGTCGATGAGCGAACATATTAACATATAAGATATCATAATTTACAATACTTAATAATATTTAAATTGACATGTACAAAGTACACTGAAATATGACAACAGTATTGCTATAAAATATGTTTTGCGTATGTCGAATCGATAAATTCGTTGTCTCGTCCGTCGTGCGAAACACACTCGGAAAGATATTATCGAATCTCGCCGTAACTCTGCAAAAGCTCAATGTTGCGTGTCGACAACGTCGATTAGAGAATTAATTATTGGATTCAAGCACATCCACGTTGCCACGGGAGAGACACACCAGGTTTCTATCCGCATAATCGCTTATCACACCGAAGCGCCTCTCTATCTCGCGTCCTCTCCTCCTCTCTCCCTCTCTCTTTCCGCGCGACGCGCTCTCCGGAAACTCGCTCGCTAATTAGACGCACAGTTTGGATACTCGCGTTCTTCCGGGAGGTAAGTGCCGCCGTATAACTTCGTTTTCTCCGATGCGAATTAATTAATAGCTTCCCGTGAGACGCGCCGTGAGTCTCTCTCTCTCTCTCTCCTAAGAGACGCTCTTGCGACCTTAACGCGGGCCCGATTAAGCGATTCTGATTAATTAGACTAGACAGATACCGCCTTTGAATGACCATTGAATTTACGCTTGTTTTTGCAATCACATAATGATAAAAGCAGTCTTAAAAAAGAAACGCGATATTAGTTTTCATCTTTTTTCCAATATTCTATCAGGTTAGGCTAGGTTAGATTAGGTTCAATTCATTATCCAATTTTCACCATTTTTCAGATAATCGTCTGATCCTACGTCTATAAAAGTAACCCATTTGAGCCAATAAATTCATCGGCGATTTGACGAATTTTTATAAAAACTCTTCATGAAAAATTATGTCGAATCTCGAACAAGGCAATTTTCGACCAAAGTCGCGATCTTCTTCCAAAAAAGCTCCTCCTTCGTCTCGACGAGACGACACAAGCGTTTTTTCATTCGCTCTACGTCAGCCGCTCTGAGGTCGAAGGGTATAAATAAATACACGCGCGACATATTCGCAACCGAAGGGTTCACGTCGAAGACGTTCGGGGGCTAATGAGCGCCATAACTAGCGGAATGGCTGGTTGGCTTTCGATCTTGCAGGACCGCTGCGGGCCCTAAACCGCGTATCATTATAACGTATAAGATAATAACCCCCTCGACGTTCAGTGAGGCGTGGGGTGGCCGGGGGATGAAACGGAGCGCCAAAGGGGGTGGGCGCTTGGTCGCTCTCGGCACCGTGCGCTAATAAACCTGGTCTACGTTTCCTCGGTTATATCGCGGCACCATGCGACCCCCTTCGATCCCCCCACCACTCCTTCGCCGCCCATCTGGGCGCGCTGCCGTGTGTACACACCGTAGGGGTGCACACCTAACGATATTATCGTCATTACGCACTATCTTACTTCGGAAGCTCCCCTACAAATGATTCTCGGGAGTCGCGCGAAAAGCGCTTTTCATTACGACGACGATACTCAGATGCAACAACAGCAGCGGCGACAGCAACAACAGCAACAGAGCAGCGACCGTTGCAGCAGCAGCAGCAGCAGCAGCAACGACGAAATGCGCAGCCATTAGCGGCGCGATCTCCGTTTCGCACAAAAGTCCAAATCAACCCAGGCGGTTTGAGAGATCGATTGCGAGCCGGCTGGTGAAAGCCACCCTGAAGTCCCCCGCGGTTGGGATTTATCTCACCGCGACCGAGCTCGCTCGAATTTATTGCGAGGGACATTACATCAAATCACTTTCTTCGAGTTTAGTAGAAAAGCTCTATCGATAATAGATTAAATAAGAACATGAAGGAAGAAGCCTAAACTTCAGGCTCCTTTTATTCTTATATGATTCTCGTCTTCAAGTTTATTGAGAGTGATTGGACTGGCGGAGCAAGCGATGGTGATTTTGATTCGTTCTGTGTTTCACTCGATATTCAAATTCGACGGTCGCGAGGTTCTCCTTCGAAGGCGGCTGGGAATTGGAGGGCGGCATGCGAGATCTCCGATGTTCGAACATGCGCGCATTGGACAAATTATGCATAAACGATGTACGAATACACTTACGGTCGCAGTTGCCACGGCGTTCTCGTACGCTGCCAGCCTCGCCTGGATAATCGCCGCATTAATATCGGCCCCTGTGAATCCATCGGAGAGTCGCGCCAGCTCCTCCAAGTCCAATGTTGCGCTGTCTACGTTTTGGGACTTACACAGCTCCGTGAAAATCTCCCTCCTTTCCGTCTGAAGTAGCGGAGCAAGCACAAGATTGATTAATGAACGATTAATATAAAGGCCTGACGACTTGAAATGGTTGGTTGCCGAGCAATTCACCTCATTCGGTAAGGGACAGTGCAAACACTTGTCGAGTCGTCCCGGTCTAAGCAGAGCTGGATCCAACATGTCTGGCCTCGAGGACGCAGCCACGATGGCCACCCCTTCGCGATCTTCAACCCCGTCGAGTTGCGTCAGCAACTGGTTCACCACCCGATCGGTCACCCCAGTATTATCGTGCCCACGTCTGATTGAACGTTGAAATAGATTCATCATTTTATTATCCGCACGAGTAATAAGGATAGAAAATAAAATAGAAACTTAGCATGTGTGAGAGAGAGTCCCTTGAGGAACGCTCTTCACGCAAGAATAAAAGATGACCACGTTTCATATAACAGATTAATTGTATTTATATAAATTGATTAACTAAGGAAAAATGAATAGATCGCGTATGCCGTCACGCTCACCTGGGTGCAAGACTGTCGAACTCGTCGAAGAACAAAACACACGGCTTAGCGCGGCGAGCTCTAAAGATGTATAAAGAAAAATTACAGCTTTTGAGAATACTTAGATAAGAATGTAAATTATGTGATTGAAATATCCTAGCAAAAACAACATTTAGTTAGACGGTTGGCTCGTCGTACCTTTCGAAAACATTTCTCACGGATTCCTCGCTGACACCTATGTACTTCGACAGCAACTCTGGACCCTGAAAGAAGACTCTTGCCTAAGAGAACCTTCCAAAGAAAACTCCTTAGAAAAACGCAGAAAGATCCAATGCGCGTATCTCTCATTCTTACCGCGAATGATGATTAAAATATAATTTTATTCGTGACACTCTTAGCCAAAGAGGCAAAATCACCTTGATGCTGATCAGATTCACGCCGCATTCGCCGGCGATCGCCTTTGCCAGCATCGTCTTGCCGGTGCCGGGCATTCCGTACAACAGGACACCGCTCTGTAGCTTTATCGGGGCGTTCCTGAAGATCTCCGGGTACTTGAGCGGCCACTGCAGAATTTCCGTGAGGGAGCTCTTCACGACCGACAGCCCGCCGATGTCGGACCAGGAGTGGCCGCCGCTTTTGTGCAGCTGCACATCCTGCATGGAAATCGGCGTGAAATTCTCCAGCGCGGCATTCATGTCCTCCTCCGTCACGATCATACGTGATGCCAATCTCGTCGCCGCTTGAGACATACATTAACATTACAAACTTAATGGCTTAACTTAACAGCTAACTTAATGACGTAATGTCATTAGTCAATCACAGCGTGTCCATGACTCTCTACTGGATTTTATCATCCGCTTCGGTGCTTGCTCGTGCTAATATCCTCTCTTTTGATCAATTTTTATGTTATGTTTTTTATTATAATTTTTCTAACGTTCACTCGTCAACATTCTTAAAGTAACCACTATCTATCACTCTCGTTACCGTGACGCTTCCATGCGGCAAATATCGCCTTCTCCGACAGGTCGACGAGATCCTGAGGCATCCAGCCCTCGGTCTTGTTCCTATAGTGATCCCAGTTCATGTCCTCGGGCAATTTGTCCTTGAGCCTTGTACGTAAAATATCGATTCTATGCTCCTGGTTAATCACCACGCGAATTAGTGAAACATGGAAATTATTGAGCAAGCGTATTTTAATGATCTGTTTTAGCTAAGAGTGTAAAAAGATATCAAAACGTCTTTCTGAAGTAGTGGATCATATTTCTAAAGTCCCTTCTGACCCACGCAAACTACGCGAATGATTTTCTACTTCACATCGCACACGCTACATTTCCGAAATAACTCCAATTCGTTGGTACCTTGTTGAGATTGGGTATCGACAAGACAGTTCTGAAGAATTGCGAGCCTCTCGCCGGTCGTAATTTCAAACCGATCTTGCTCACGCTGATACAAGTCGCGACTACCGAGATGTAGTGGGATTTTTGATACTGTGTGAGGGTGTTGATCAGCATATCGGTGATTCTAAAATTGTTTCGGGATCTCGTTAATCAGGGAGACCCTCGGAAGTTATTTTCTTGTGAAAAATATCTTCCTATAACTAACGTCGACGTGAAACCCAAACGCGACTACTATACTTCCCCGAAATACCCCTTTCCCCGAAATTTCCCTTCGCACGTCCGACAACAATTATTACACAATTATATTAACGATTAATAAATATGTGTCCAATCACCTGGAAGCGTTCGTTGCGTCTATCGTATTTTCCTCGTCGTTTAACGAGGCGTTAGTGATGCACTCCAAATCGTCCAGAAACAATATGGACGGTTGATGATACACGCACTCGTGCATGGCGGACGCAACAATCTTCTGCACTGTCTCGACTTTCTTGCCTAATCGACAATTCATGTTCTGATAAATATCGGAAAGTTAATCTAATATATCTAATATATCTAATATAATATGATAATTATCGGAAAATCGGAAAGTTAAAGTAACCGTTACGATATAATATTAGACCGTCTCGGTTAATTATTAGTCTCCTTTAAAACGGACTTTGCGCCGATTTAAATTTTAAAGTATCTAGAAACGCGTAACAGAGCTCTCTGTCAAGACGTGGTAGGTCAAGATACTAATTGATATTAATTAAAATCTCAAGAGAAAATGACCGCGACCGCGATTACCTTTCAACGATCTACAGTCGATCACACGTGTGTACACAAAACGCGGCTCCTTGCGGTAACGTTCGATTAGCGTTTTGCAGATGGTCGTTTTGCCGGATCCCAAGCCACCGCAGATCAGAATATTCTCTCGATCGTAATAGAAATTCACCTTCGTGTCTAGTTTAATCCGCAAACCCAGGCTGAGGTCGAGCGCCTTCTCGCAACCTTCGAGAACATCCGCCACGTATCTGCAATTTGTTCGTTTCTCCTTGACGGAATTTCGCACGACAGATCAATTTCTAACGCGATATAATTGAATTTGCAAATGCGAACTCGACTTTTCGTGATACAACAGTGGATGTAGCTTCGACTTTAAAGCCGGCTTTGAAGTATCTCGACAGTAGTAATAATTAAATGCGCGTGTAAAATTTCACGAATTCGAGTCACTCGAATTTTCGAGTAAAATTCCACCGCAACAAAATTTAGAGGACGATTACTCGTTGGCTCACTTCGTGGAAATATTCTCCAGTTTCAGATCTTCAGAGCAGTGGGCCTCCAAGATCTCCACATTGGCTGAATACAACACCGGCTGAATGTGTATATCCAAATTCTCGATATCCCTATCGTCTATGAACGCGTAATCGCAATCCGCGGGCGACATTCGCACAAAGTAGCGTTTGCCTTGATCGAGTAAAAGAGAGTGCGAACTGAGCAGCAGTAGCTCGTCCCTCGAGTGGAATGTCAGGTAGCTTTTGAAATCCTGCACCGTCGCGGTGTTTTCCGCAGGGGTGAAGACATCCAACGATGTCGGCTTCGAACATCTCTTCTCCTCGATTAGCCGCACAATCATCTTACTTCCCGCTCGCATTTGCAGGCTGACCCTCAGGCTGTCCGACACGTAAGCGCGCGGATGAATCGAATCCAAATCGAAGTAATCCGCGTCGGAGGCGCGTGACTTCAAGACATCCTCGAGGACGTAAATCCTCGCGGTAAGCTCATCGGAAACTTTGGGAAGAACGGAAGAATCACCGTCCCGCAAGAAACTCGTGCCGCTGTCGTTGACGCGTTGTCGGTCTTCCAGTACTTTCCTCACTTTGCCTGCAAGCAAATTGACCTTTGAATTTTCAGAGTCCTTGAAATTCCATCGAAATTATACTCGTTGCTTTGTAATACACCAACAAGCGGGTGACTCAATTGTGAGACGATCAGCTCTCACGTGATAAATGATAATAATTCGATACGAAAGTGAATCAACATTGATCTCAAATTAAATATTTAATTGTTTCATAACAATATTGTGTGCACTGTCACAAAATATAAAAATTTGGTAAATTTTAGCAGTGATTTATTACATATTTCGATTATCCGACCAGGTTTCAATTTTCTAAACAGATGAATTCCGCGTAGCAAATATTGCCTTTTCTTCCTTTCTACGATTATTGAAAAAAAAAGCGAGACTTACATATTATTCTTCCGGTTGTCGACTTCACGCCTTTCGGTAAGTAACTTCTTGGCACTAGGATGTGGCTGGGTGCTGCCAATATCAAATCGCTAGAGTCCTCAGTGCTCGTGGACGGCAAAGGATACACGCGGAACACTCGAGGTATGCTTCTCTTGCGAAAGTTTTGCAGCAACGCGTAATTCGTCGCGTTATCGTTCACGTTGTGCTCTTTGGAGAAGTAAGGAAAAATCTTAGCCAATGCATTGCGCATTACGCCAGACGTCTCGTCAACTTTCGCGTCCTTCTTTGTTGCGCCCGTGACTGCGTCGAGCACATGAACCTCCGTAAATTGTTGCAGAAGTCCGTACGAAAACTTCGGTTCTAAATCCTCTATAAAAACAAGAAGGAAAGCCTCGCTCGAAGAATTTTTCGACTATTCATATTTTTCAGAATGAAATATTGAACGTTACATTGAAAGAGTACACTGAGAAAAAGTTGTATTAAAATTATTAAATTAATTAAACAAATATTTATTCGAATACAACTGTGAATACATTTATTCAAATTAAGCGACTAAAATGAAAATTCTAAAATGAAATTCAGAGGTTCTCTGAATGTAAACTTTTTTTTTCAATTTTAGAAAATAATTGCTTAATTTTAATAAATGTATTCACAGTCGTATTCGAACAAATATTTGTTTAATTTTAATACAATTTTTTCTCGGTGCATATTTAATTATGTGAATCTACTTTTAGGCTCATTTCTTTGTATATTTCTTTCTCTGTCAAATTTACTCAGCAACGCGAGTTATTGTTCGAAATATTTACAAATATTACCATACAGCACACAAAGTTGAAAAAATCGTTGCTGCAACGTTGGGATAATATTGCAATGTTGCAGCAGCGTTGCAGCAATATTGCTGTAACCTCTGTGCTATAGAGAGAAAGAACGTCTGCAAAATTGCACAATTTCTTTTAATCGTTCAAATTATCTTGAAATCCCTTTCTTATTTCTTCCCGAAATCTATTTCTTCATTTTCTGCTCGTAACGTCCCGACTATCAACAAACGATTAAAATTTCTGATAAATTAAATTAAATGAAGTTGAAAATAAACGACTTGCCTACGACGCAAGTTACGGAGGAGAACTTGGAGATCCAGGCCACGATCGGCTGTTCTTTCGCGACGATTCTCACTTGATTTAATAGACTTGATTGCACTTTTTCCATTTGCAATTCCTGCGGTCGAATACAAACATTCGATTGAGCGGTTTAATGTAGATCAGCCAACGTTAATTAAACGTTACTTAGATTGCGTACCAAAAGCTCACGATCGTTCGTTGTCAGGGGGACGACATTAATATTGCTCAACGAAGACACCTGTTTTATGGCAGACACGAACACCTCATCCCCCTCTCGTATGTCCAGACTTTTTGCAAAAATTGCACCGATGCCTAACGTGTCATTTGGAATACTGTTAGACATACGGGAAGAGAAGTAATATACCTTTGCGTTGTGCGTCACTTCGATCGCATTGACCTGCAATTAAATCGTCGCATTATCGACGAAAAATTTTATCCCATCGCTATCCGTGATTGGCAAATTATATTTTATTGCAATGTTTTTCAAAAATCTTAGTTTCGCTTCTCCTGCCCTCTCTGTATCATCCTATACACAATATAATTATAAAATTCGACTCATAGGAAAGATCGCTTCTCTCTCTCTTTCTCTCTCTTTCATGAAAAAGTAAGCAAGATTCGGCGAGCTGTAATTTTCCCGAAAACAACAGTAACCAGATAAGTGAAGAAGCATTTTACAGCTTTACGAAGCATTTAACATACTTCTTAGTTTTTAAATATATTTCCACATATAAAGTTTACTTGTTCTCACACGATTTTCTGGCTTGCTGCTGAAGCTTGGAAGAGAAGCAGGTATTTGATACAATTTCAATTCTTCGGTCGAATCAGTGGCGGCTCGTAACGAAGATTTTGGAACTAAACATTGCGAAATATACAATAAATAACGGTCGAGACTCACTTATTGAGACCCGTTAATTATTTCCTCGATGCCATCTACCGGCCTTATAAAAAACACATTAGACAAACGATTCGAATCTTGGCTAAATGACCCGTTACAGTTAGATTCTTTACTTGTGTCGATTCTATCCTTCTTTATTTCGAGATTTCACGATATTCAACGGTTGATTCATAAAATTTTAATGATAGGAACACAAGAATAAAGGCCTCAGTGTGCACATTTCTTACACCAGACCGGTAAATTCGATAGAAACAAATGTTAATGATTAATGATGATTAAGGAGAATCGTACATCGATTCATAGGTCGACTATCGCTCATTTTCACAGCAGATGGCGCTTCGCAACCGACGCACGATAACGAAACGACGTGTGATTTTGCGACGAAGAATCAGAGGATCGTGTAAAAAATAACACTCACCTCAGTTGCCATACGACGCGCCCAGTGATACGACAAGCTGGTGAAGCAATTGCTTGCCGTAATGTATTTCACAATTAAACGTTCGTCTTCCATTTCATTGCGAGCAACACGGCCGTGTACTGATGAAACAACGAGGCTTGCCCCCGACGACACTCTTTTTCCTAGGGAAAACTGATGGACTTTGCTACTAGTCCTCCGCTCGGAAATAGCTGTGCCAGTAAAGAAGACGAAGTTGGCAGCGGTGAAAATTACTGATGCTACATTTCAAATCTGAATTGATGTAGTAATGATTCCAAACCAATTAACTGATGCTTCAAGGCGGTTGTCGCAACTTCTTGGTAAGTTAACTGATAGTTAAATCATATGTTTGTCTTTGTTTCTCTTCTCAAATAGACAAAAAGATATCATTTGGATTTCTAAAAGATATCTTGCAATATCTTGAAGTATCTTATATTTTTTTCGAAAATATATCTTTTAGAGATCTAAATGTTAAAGATATCTCAAGGTATCTTTTAGATGTCTGTAGATATCTTTTAGAAATTCTATAAAGATATCTTCAACTAAATCTATTTAAATATCTTTTAGACAATTTCTAGACATCTTTTAGAAATGTCTTGAAGATATCTTTCATAATGATATCTTTTAGATGTCTACAAAATATTGATGTTTATTGGGCTTCAACTTGGACAAAAATAGGCATATGATTTAACTACCAGTTAATTTACCAAGAAGTTGGAATAACCGGCCTCTAAAGAATTCATGAAACCTGAAGGTGGTTATCGCTGTTATCGTCATGGAAATACATGTAATATGCAGAAAAACAATAATACCTAACATATAACGTATTCTTTACTTATTAATTTATAACAATCGTTTTATAATATAACTTATAATAAAGAAGTGATTGTATAGAATTTGTCTTTGTCAATACCCCGTTATTTTATACTCAACCCGAGTATTCATTTACACATGTAAATCCCATATTAAAAACTTGAAGTTTCAACATCTGACAATAACAAAATAGAATCTTTGAATACAATTGAATACAATCCTTTGAATTCTTTCTTTACAATTAGTATCATCCGTACCGTATGTGTAGTGTCAAACAAGACGGAAAGCGATAAGGGTTCGAGAAATTAAATAAATCTAATTATATGTAATCCCTTCGTATGTGTCAATTATGTGCCCATAATCGACGAAACAAGCCGTACGTATTTCTACACACTCCCCAGAGATGTCGCCACACTGACGATATATCATCTGTATTCTTTCCATATGCGTCCCACGAACGAACCAATCGACGCACGCTGATTTCGTAACCGTGAGTTTTGAACGACGTCAACTGGCATCCGGCTTCAGCTTCAGTGTATGTTTAGACGAAAGATGTGGGGCGTTATGCAGAAACGTACAATCGTAAGTTGATGTTCATGTGTAGTGCATGTGACTCGAGGTCTTCTCAGACGAACAATCGCACACCTCCCACACGCTACGACATAACGCTCGCACAGGTAATAATCATAACATAAATAGTATACAGGACGTACGAATAGTTTGAAGCGCAAGCTATTATTCCACCCACCGTAATGGCCGTTGCTGCTGGCGGTATTTTCCTCGAGACACGCGCAGTTAACATATCGGCTCGGGTAAAAGTATTCGTTAAAAAGACACAATTACAGCACATCTGGAAGGAATTCTGGAAAGAGACAACGAAACAATCTGTTGAGCAAGCTGGAAACGGTCGATCGCATTGGACCAGAGACCTCGTTAAGGAACTCCCGCGTTTTCCTTCGTGTGATATCGAAGATGCAAGTTCGCTACATTCTTGAGAATACAAGATGATGAAAATTTGTTATAAGGACTAGCACAGCTTCTGCTGCACAAGCTGACGGCTTCATCGTTCTGACAACGAACTTGACGATTTTTTCACTGAAAAAATACACGGTAACGGTATTTATATTTACTAATATACTTATTAATTTATTAGTTTAGTAAATATAGGCCTAATGATTGATTCATTAAGTTAACAAGAATTTATCAGAGAGTTTGTCAGAAAATTTAGTTAATAAATATGATAAAACTTACTGAATAAACATATGGCTATCGTGTAAATCGAAACAATGTGAACAGGAATCGAGCAAGAGACCACGATATTAGAGTCATATTGTAAGCAAAAATGGCACCACCAAAGGTAATGCTCAAGCAGAATAGAGCACAGAATACTTTTGGAGTCATGAGAAAAGGAATGACAACAAGAAGTCAAAATCAAAATTTGTTGAATAATGTATTAAATAAGCAAAACATAGTGCCTAAAGAAACACGTGGTAAACGAAAAGCTGAAGCTCCACCACCTCAAGAGAAAATAACAAAGAGAACTGCTTTTGGTAATATTACTAATGTGAGTATTATGCCTGGTAATATTACTAATGTGAGGTATGATTTTTACCATTGTTATTAGACATTTTTATATTAACCCTATTTTTCTCATTCTTTCATCTTATTTTATTTGATTATATCATTATATTGTATCATTTATATTTAATTAAATATTTTATCACTTTTGTTTTAAACCAAATTATAGGCTATTGGAAGAACATTAGGAGAACAAAATCGTATACCAAGCAAGATAGTACCCCAATTCAAAACAGCTATAGAAAATAATGCTATAGAAAAACGTATAGCAAAAGCTACAATTATATTGAAATCAAAACCACCATCTCGTGTCAAACCTATTGTAAAGAAAGATGAGGAAAAGAAGAGTGACGAGAATAAAGCAGATATCTCACAAAAATTTGTAAATATCAGAGCAAGTTTAGATTCAGAGAAATCAGAGGAAAATTCATTGTATGTTAGTGCATTGGAAGATGTGGCAGAGAATGTAAAAAATAGTCTCAAATTTAATAGTAAGGTAAGCAACAATATTTTTATCGTGGTTAGTATGCTTATTAGTGTTCCTTATTTGAAAAAAAATGTAATTAAAGTAATAAAGTAATAATTAAAAATTAACATTTCCTTTCAATTCGATACTTATTTATCTGAAAAATTACAAAAACTCAACAGTTGAAATCTATCATGATACTTCAATATTTGGTATTGAATTTTAAGATAAAGGTTAAAAAGTATTCTCATTTAAGAAAAATATGTATAGATTGAATCATTAATTTTTATGTATTTAGTTAATATAATTTTGATATATTAAATGTATTATATTTTACTTATATTATTTAATATAATTATTATATATTAATATATCTTTATATATTATGCAATTAATAAATGTACAATATTATTAATGTAGTATAAATTTGTTATTAAGTCTATGACTTCTCTATGAAACTAATTTTCAAAATGTACAGGTTAGCTCAAGTGAAAATGTAGCAGAAACTGAAAAGTTTATAGAAGTTGTAAGGATTGAACCCATGACAAATGAAGGGACAAATGAAGAGGAAGAAAAGCTGTTACAGGGTGTTACATTATTGGATGACATTCCTGAAAATAAACTACCTGAAGGTGTATTATGGGATTTTGATGCTGAAAACTGGTTAGATCATTTGCAAGTGTCAACGTACGCAATGGACATTTTCCAATATTTGAAAGAACGGGAAAGTTCATTTGTTATCACGAACTATATGGAAAGACAAGTGTGTCTCTCGCGATGGATGCGTGCTATGTTGGTTGATTGGATGGTCGAAGTGCAAGAGTCGTTTGAGCTCAATCACGAGACCTTATATTTAGCTGTAAAACTCGTCGACTTATATTTAACAAAAGTGACAGTCGGCAAAGAAACCCTGCAATTGCTAGGTGCTGCTAGTTTGTTTATAGCGAGCAAATATGACGTAAGTTTCACGAATACGTACATCTCTACCGGATTTTTTTCGTGGTTACCTGATAAAATCGTATCCGAATTATGTACGGTGAATCAAATAATAACTTGTTCTCGACTTTGTTTATAGGAAAGAATACCACCGATGGTGGATGATTTCTTGTATATATGTGATGGTGCTTATTCACAGAGAGAGCTCATCAGAATGGAAATGAATATTTTAAAAGTAGTGAATTTTGACTTAGGAATACCACTCTCTTACAGATTTCTTCGGCGTTATGCTAGAGTAAGTAGATAAGTTTCTTTCGTTTGTTATTTTTTATTCTCAAACATGTTTTATATGATACTTTCATCTATATTTTGTGTATGTGTGTAATCTATTTTTTATATACTTATTTTCACATGAATATGATTAATTTTGAACGATGCATTGATTATTAAAACCATCGGCTTTAACTTATTCGAGACTTCAAACTTACGTTTAAAATGTTCTATCAGAAAATACTTGGTTCAAAAACAAAATTAATATATCGCTTAAAAAGAGACATGATTCAGCTGAATGAAAATCTATACCATGCATTAATCATTATTGTTCAAAAATAGTGTGCCAAAGTATCAATGCCCACATTAACTTTGGCTCGATTCATACTGGAGTACTCCTTGATGGATTATACGGTAATAACATTCAGCGATAGCAAGATGGCTGCGGCCGCGCTGTTATTAGCATTACAAATGAAAGATCTAGGAGGATGGACTCCGACGTTAGAGTATTATAGTAGTTATAGATTGGACGACATAAAAAATATCTGCATTACTTTGAATGAAGGCTTGCATAAGAAGCATAAAGAATCTTTAATGACCGTGCGCAACAAATACAGTCACAAGTAAGCATCAATATCCTAATTTCCTTTCACAGAATGCTAAATAAAAGTATCAATATGATAACATTCTTTGTATAAATGACCAATATTAAATTCATTTCCTTCACATTTCAGAATCTTCTTTGAAGTAGCAAAACTTCCCTTAAAAGACAAGTTGGATATATAGGTGATGCTTAAGTTAGTATAATAAACGTAATTATATTTTAATGTGCATGGAAATTTAATTCGGTAAAAAGCCAAGCCAACTATTGTTGGTCATCGTTAATAAATTTTTATGATAATAATTATTAGCATGCCGATAATTATATTAAAAAATAATATGCATAAAGAAACAAATTAAAATAACATTTCGGATGATCGCAAATCGCTTATTGATCGCAAAATCACGAAGGACCTCGCACTTGCATCCATTTTCTAAGAATTGTATTTTTCTTTTATTATTTATATATAACAATATCTATATCGTTTTACAATCGCAGTATTTGTAAGTTAACTTATCCTTTTTTTCTTTTGTTAAAATTTATTTTAGCGTCATGTTTTTACACTTCGCGAAATAAATCCCGAATTTTAACTTTATTCTGGATTTTGTTTTTATGACTTAGCTAATGTTTAATATCTCTCACAACCGATAATATTTCTATGGAGGTAAACAAAAAGATATATATATATATATACACATATCTTATTAATTGCCGATTAAATTGGTAATATAAACGCGATTATATGCAAGTGAATGATGAAATAGTAATTTATACTTAAAATACTGTATAGCAAGTGTGGCGCATTGTTATGTGTATCGTGGTTGTACTTTTTTATAAAGACCGATAATTGAAGCTTATAATACCGAAGTAAGAATGACATACACAATATGTAGTCGTTACACGCGCATATGACGAATCTAAGATCTTCATGGAATTCAATATCTTTGACTGTGTGATATAATCGAAAAAACATTGCATTGTGAAATTGAAAGATAAATGTATTCAGAAATTTTTGCTAACATAGCGTACAAATTGACAATTTAACCAGAGACAATTCAAACTTTTTAATGAAATACTTAATGAAATATATTTGTCATTTCTATATTGAAAAAGAGAAATTATGATCATTCGGTTTGTGTGACTATACTTAAAGCAACAAGTACCTATAGAGATATATTTATACTTTTTAATCTTAACATCTTAACTAGTTTACGTAAAACATGTAATCAAAAACGCAGGCACTAAAACTATTTTATAGGAACAATTTAATAAAGAGTGTTAAAGAGTAAAAAAAGTTTTAAAAACTGACATGTTAAAATGGTTGTAATTGAAAAGAAAAGAGTTAATAGCATAGATAAATCCACTGTTTCAAGGCAACCTATATAATTATATGACGTAAAACTCTAATCCGGATGAAAAGAAAGACTTTCGGACAATTGTCAATAGAAATTTAAAAAAACAACCTGTGATATTGATATTCGTTCATTGTGTGATGTAACAAAATTGAAATAATAAGAGTGTTGTGTATGTGTGTGTGTGTATGTGTGTGCCAAATCTTTATTGTCTGCAAGGTGGTCACGAAGTTCCATTACTCCTAATATGTAATTGAAAGGCTCGGTAAAAGGATGGAGCAATTTTATAACTCAAAAGATCCATTTCGGATGCTATTTTACACTTGAAATGATCATTATGATTTATGGATTGGCCTCATTCTTGCTGAATTCATCAATTAGCATGTTGGGGCCCCTGCAGTGTATAATTTATTTGTAGCTATTTAAAAAGAAAATAAAATGTAAAAAAAATATGAAAAAAATTATAAGAAAGATAAAAATATGTAAAACATATACTCTATTATAGCAGATTAACATACAAGGTGTCCCATTCTAAAGAATCCTCCTTAAAGGATATTTTAGAAGCACTACGTTAAATCGAAAAATGTTTAAAAGTTGTTTGCCTTGAAGGGGGACATAAGACAGCATAGCATTTTGTTTATAGGTATCACCACTTTCGAGATATTCACTGATCATCAATTTTCTTAAATGGAAATACCAACTTTTTATTATATCATCTTTTTCAACCAATTAATATGAACAACTTTTGTCTGAAACATATTTTTATTTGCTTACTATATTTTGAGATATTTAAGGAAAACTTGATAACTTTTTCAACATTTAACTTACTATATCTCGCTAACTATTCATCGAAAGAAAAAATAATATTAGACTTTTTTACTTTATTTACTATCAGGAATATATTACTATAATAGAGCCCTAACTTTTGTTAATTTAATAATTTTAAAATTTCCAAAGGTCGATAAGTTAACAAAAGTTGGGGTATTATTATAGTAATATATTCTTGATAGTAAATAAAGTAAAAAAGTCTAATACTATTTTTACTTTAGACGAATAATTAACGAGATACCGTAAGTTAAATGTTGAAAGTTACCAAGTTTTCCTTAAATATCTCAAAAAATATTAAACAAATAAAAAAATGTTTCGGACAAAAGTTGTTCGAGTTAATTGTTAGAAAAAGATGATATAACAAAAAATTAGGATTTCCATTTAAGAAAATTGATGATCAGTGAATATCTTGAAAGTGGCGCCATCTATAAACAAAATGCTATCGCTGTCTTACGTCCCCCTTCAACTTTTGTCCCCCAAACAACTTTTGTCTGAAACATTTTTCGATTTAACGCAGTGTTTCTGAGATATTTGAGTGGATCCTTTAAAATGGGACACCCTGTATAACCGTCATAAATTTTATAAAATTGATTAGAAATAATATCGCCAACTGAGCTCTGAGGAAGCATTGGTATTATTTATTGAAAATAAACGCACAAATAAAGAATATGAGAAAAATATAAGGGAAATAATATTTGTGAGAATATGTTAACTGCAAATGAATGGGGAGTAAAGGAATTTTAAGGCCGCCCCGTATAATTTTCATATTCACTCGATACTCGTGTACAGTATTTATATGAGCCTCCTCGATAAGGATATATCGTAACATTATGCATATCTAGACCACCGATTTTCGTTAAATTTTTAATTACTTCACAGACAGATGTAAGCGTATACTGTACATACGCACGGTCGTAAATTCACGCCTGTACATATATGCCTCATGATTGACTGGAACAAATTCAAAGTGAATTTTTGTAACAGATATGTGTGGAAAATGCGAGCGCGGTCTTAAGTAAGACACGTTCAAAATTGAGCTCTCTCCTATGATGTATATATAATTAATAATATATTTTTCTACTGCCATTATATATTATGAGTCTTTATTTCGAGATAAACAGAATTCATCTCACTCCTACGAAGAGTATTGTTTTTGACAGACTGCTGACGAAGTTAGTATCATCCCCTTTTCTAAATGAGCATTCATACTCGAGAGAATTTGATTTTTCAGTAATTTTAAAATGAATTTTCTTATTGGAAACCGAATGCATGTGTTGAATTTCATTCCACCTTTTTCGTCTTTTCATTAAGTTCGTAGCTAACTTAAATGTTTACAAACATTGTCCTCTAATGAAAGACAGATCCTTTTGTCACAATCGTACGCGTAATAAATTTTTTGAAAGAAGTCAAAAATGTATCCAAGAATCTAGCATAACAATCAAAACGAAATTCTCTCTTTATTTTGTCTTGAAATTCTTATTCTCCATCGCGAAAATGATGATGAACGTATATTAATCTACTAGTATTTTACATCTTTATAATTTTCATAAATAAATAATAAATGCGTATCCTACCACGTTGTATACCACACTAATTTTCGGAAAGAAATGTTGCTTGTTTAAAATCTCAACTAAAGATCGCATAACCGAGATGGTGTGTAAAGAAATATATACAGTTTCTTAAATTTGGTTTAATTGACGGAATATATCGGCCGTATATTCGATTTGTTATACACAGCTAATTATAATAACGAAATGTAAATGAACGAAACGTGTCGGTAGTGCCGATCTTCGATGGCCATCGTGGCCATTCAATATGCTAAATGTCGGTAAAAACCAGGTACATGCTATATATTAGAATTATATGAGATTTATATATACATAAGACGATAACGACTACGCTATTTGTACTTGTCAATAGTATCTAAACATTAAAAAATTGCCGATGTAACTATCTTATACCATTTACAGAGTTACAGAGAAATAATACTTTTCAATATATATATATATATATATACACATACTTCCGTTACGCCTGAATAAATACGTGTATAAATATCTTTCAAATATTTCTGTAGTCTATCAAAAAAAAAGAGGTAACTGCTACGCACGCATTTTGTAACTGGTTGCGTTATATGTATTTTTATTTTATATATTACGCTTTATGTAAAAATCACTTTCTCTGTAACAGTTTATAGTGAAATGTAGTTAGTATCGCACCTTTCTCAATCGCTTGCGTAAAATGGGCGGTGATTTTATGCTACTTTGCGTTCTTCAATAAATTATCCGACTTATCTTCTAAGAGATGCATGTTTTCACAGACCGGTAATTTTCAAGAGCGACAGAAAAATCCGACAAACTTTTTCGCGCGCATAACGTCTGAGATCTTCCAGGAAAATCGGAATTCAACATGCGGGTATCACAATGCTTCAGCCTTCGCTATGCTATGTATACACACGTATACATAACATCTTACATCAGCGGAACAGTCTCGCATAATCATGATGTACGTTGCTTCGAGTAACTCTCGTGAGGTAAATTTCGGTTTGAAAACCACTTCCCGCGTAATCAGTATGCGTATTCGACTCTGTACGGCGTGACGAGGAACGCCTTCGTCGTTTGTCAGGGTTTCTCTTCCCTGGAGATTCGCCTAGCATGCAGCCTCTCACACCGTGGACACTCGGGCTTGTTGCTACCGCGCTTACAATCCGCATGGAAACAGGCACCGCACTTTTCACATCGCACCACCCGCGATAAGTCCCACGGGAATATGACGTCCTTGGAACAGCATAGTTCGCACACGAATCCTCTAGCTTGGCACAACTGGGAGAAAAACGTCGAAATGACGTTATCTTGCGATATCCGAACTGTAGTATGAAATATCATGACGAAGTTCCAAAGATGAGAAATAAATACCTCGCAGTCCGCAATATGCGCGCAGCAAACTCCGACGAGCTCTTGCAACCTGACAAACAAAACTCCGAATTTCACGTGTATCAGATCTTGAATCGAATATACGTGAGGGTCGCTTATGATGTAATTCGGCTCCTTCTTCAGCACGTCTTGAAGGCTGAAACGTTCCGAGAATGATTAGGTTAATTTCTCGAGATACTCCGTGCTGCCAAGTGACGTCGCAAAAAGCCTCGACACTCACCTGGTCGAGAATCGGCAGGTAAACAAAAAATCTTTCAGGAAGAACAACTGCATACGCAGAACCCTTGTCTTGTTCAATTGTTTGATACGTCTGTAGAGCAGCGGATTCAAGTCGTTCACGTGGAACAACGGATCCGACATCATCTGATCCAGTAATCTATACGAGAAGTTCGATACGGGATATCTGTAGTAAGAAACGTCTCATTAGCAATGTCTTCTTAGAATAATAGCAATACTCAGATACACTGATGACGACAAAATTCTTTAAAGAGGCAAAATGACTTCACCTATTGAGGTCCCATTTCGATAAAATTTTCCCCGGTATAAACGCCACCTGATTCGTATGGCAGCCCGTACAAAAGTATCGGCCCAAGTACTCGCAGTATCGGAAGCGATTAGCGTACTTCACCGCCACCTTCATGCCGCAACCTGCGCATCTGTAATTCTGTTTAGCTATCAACATTCGTCTCCTGAAAGAAAAACAATGAAATATTGAGATAAAAATAGAAACCCTTCCAAGTGAAATCGCTGAGATGAAGAATACCACAAACGTTTATACTTATATTTTTATTTATTTAATATATATTTAAAGTATTCTTCTTCTATGTCAACTCTATTATCTCTTCATACTTACACCGGTGGTGCATGGGGTGTGAAAATAATCTGCGGTCGCGGCGGAGCCCACTCAGTAGTCCCCCTCAATGAAATCGTCGCTGCGTCTTCGGTTTCGGCTTCGTCGGGGCTGACCGGCCAGCTCTTCGGCATCGGCAACAGGCGCTGAGGAGCGTCCTTTTCTGACACTAGCCATTGCAATTCGCTCGCCCGAGGTAGCTGTCTCTCGCTGAAACGGCTTATGAGAGAAAGAGCCACTCCTTCAGCGGACACGCTGCTCTCATTCAGGGTCGAATCCGTAGCATGCCTTGATGCGCGCGACTCCGCGTCCGAAAACAGATCGACGTTCGACGCGGACATACCACCGTTCCTGAGCTTCAGCACGTTCCGCTCGTCCAGCTCCGAGGAGTCCGTGGACATACTGTCCGAGGTTGTCCCCGGGGACGTGGACAATGGGCTGACGCTTTGATCGGTGGTCGTGGTCGTGTCGGTCCTGCCATCGCTCAGCAGGTCGCGGCTCCAGCCTTTGCCCCGACATTTCTCCTCCTGTCGTTGCCAACGTCGCAGTCGGATCCGCTGCTTTAATCGATTGATCTCCTCGTCGCTCTCATCGTCGACTGCATCGTCCAACAACCGACGCTGCAGACGGTTGCACTTGACCTGCTCGATAGCGGCGATCATCGCCTCGCAGATGCTGAAGTGTGCGTTTTCGCGGTCCAGCTCGGCGTCATGAGCGCGGGAAAACTGAGCAGAAGTCAAGAAACTGGCTAGACTCTGACCTTCAGCTGGACGCGGGAAGTAACCGGTCGCCATCGGTTGCACGCTACTACCGCCGTCCTCCATGAAGCTCTTCCGCGGTGTCCGGATGTCCTTCTGACCCTCTATCTCTAAGCTCCATGAGCCCGTAAACTCAGGCGCTGATCCCACCAGGAACGACGTCTTCCTGCGCGTCGTCCATTGCTCTAGGTACTTCATCTCCACCGATTCGTTCGTTGCAACAGTTGGTCGCGTCTCTTCGACTACATTACCAGCTTCTTCATGAACGCTCGAAGGAGCTTCGAGAAACATGCTGCAAGACGCTGTTTTACCTTGACTTGGTCGGGTTTTCGTCCTTCGACTTTTCGTCTTTCGTTCTCGTCTGACAGGCGTTTTGGGCTTTGCCACAAGCTTCTCTGTGTTAGTATCATCGGGTTGTTTTGATTCTGAATAGATGATGTCGATGATCTTCGCTAATTCGAAGGTGCGAGGATGATTATTGCTATTGCTATTGCTACTACTATCGCTATTGTTGCTGTTATTGCAATTTTCTTGGATGGTCGGTGAGATCGGGCCTGAATTCTCAGCAACGACCTTATTATGGTTTTTAACTAAAGCAGGCAAACTATTCCACGTCTTCAGTGATATTTCTTGAACTTTGGAATCGCTTTGCTCGCTATCGATGTCGATAACTTGTGCAGATTTCGATGTTTCTTCGCTCTCAGTATCCATTTTGTCGCGCGACACAGCCTGCGTTGAGACACTCAGCTGATCCAAGTGACATCTGCTGTATACACTGAGACTTTTGTCTCGCGTGACACCGTGGCCGACACTGGAAAAATTCACCGGATATGAGGACGAACGACGATGACGTCTGGGACTCGCTCTGGGAGATATCCATGTTGGCAGAAACTGTAAATCGAAATGGAAAAGTAGAGAAGTTCATTAACACTTTCAAGCCGCCCGTGCGATGTGCGCTGTTCTTACTGTTCGTTTAAAAGAATCTACTTTCTAAATTATGAAATTCTGAATTTTACTTACTAAACAGGGATCGATTTCTGCTAGCAACACTGGCTGATTTCTCTCCACTGCCCTTAGGCACAAAAGTGTCGCCTCTGCTAGGTTTTCCTGACAAAGGAACGCCCATGGCTCAAGGCAAGAAAGTAGATGTTCTTTATCAGATAATAGCCATGATAATTTGTGTGATAGGGAATGGCCTTCTAGACTGGAAATACATATTATGTATCTTTCTTTCAGAGTGTATTGTTCTATTTTTACTACAAAAAATTCCACATTCTGTAGATAAAACATATACTTGTGTAACCTCTCTTCAGATATGAATATGTGATATATGTGAATATGTGATTGTGTTTATTAATGTAAAAAGATAGAGTTACCTTTTATATAGCCATAACATGTCCTTCTTGGACGTTATCCGGGCTGACAGATTGCATAAGTAATCTTCATTTTCTGACAACACCGGTGATGTAGCCAAGGAAGGTTGAAGCCAATTTAGTCCTTGAATAAATATCCAACAGTCTGGTTCACCCTTACAAGAATAATTCAGATATAATACTATTGTGCAGAAAATCTTGCGAAACGTTAACAAATTGAAGCAACACAATGTCTCTCTTAAGAGTAACTAGCACTTTCCTATCTATAAAAAGATAATCGTTTGGACCCTTGATAGTAATCTTGATACAACACCAAGATATAGAGATAACATTTTTAACGAGGAAACTTCTAGGGCAATAAATCCAACTAACATTGGGATCGTATATCCGACAACCGTGTTTGAATATCTGCTCCACCACATTGTGCAACCGGTTCAGGCCACCATAAACATTCCACACGTTGGATACTCCGTCAATCATCAAACCTTCCACGGTAGAGCGAAGGCTCTGCAGTAGCTGCCACTTCTCTTTGTTGTGCGTGTTCTCAGACATCCTGTCAATGGGTGTCAAGCGTCATAACATCTGATGGTGACATCCAAATGTGTCATCTCCATCACACGAGCTCACCACTTACCTGACGATTATAGTGAATTACAAAATGAACTTCTCCATCTGAACGTTACACGTGAACGTAAACACGATTTCTCGTGGATTTCCCCTCTCTCTCCCTCCCAACCCTCCCACTCCCCCCTCTCTACTTCTTGGAAAATACGTCACTCTGTTCACTCTCATCAGTGTGGTCTAATTGTACAACGGTCAGCCGGAATGACATCGATCAAACAGAACACATATCAAACAGAAGACGCCTACATAGGAGACGCCCAAATGAACCGTTCGTGTAGATAAGGTGCGATGATATTCGCTGTCCGTCCAATTTCGCTCGCTCTGCTACGTCATAGCTCGCTCATCGCCGTCGTCACCCAACGCGAGCTGATTACGCCACTCGTTTCGTGCGAGCGATTCGCTGTAATCAATGACGCGCGATAAGACAACAGCGGACTATGAACCGTCGTTCTTGAACATAAACAGCAGCAACATGCGGTTACGTGACTCGAGAATCAATAGGTCTGTTCCTTCTAGCTGAGCTACGGTACGCTTCTTGCCATTAGAGTGAAACAAACGTACAAATGTTGCGTTGGGGAGAAAAGGAGCGAAGTTTCGGCGCAGCACTGCTTCAACTAAAAAGAACAGACCTGATGTTTACATAGGTCGCTTCATGAATTGGAAAGTGATGACAACGAGCGACTCTGCAAGGAATTCGGGATCGCGATCATAGCACCTCCCGATTGTCGCTTGTATCACCGACTCCGTCGGTATTACAGTCTTCAGCGATAATTTGTCGTAAATATATGAGCGGATAACATAGGTTGTGTGACTGCATCTTGTTCCCTCATAATTTCTTCATCATTGCTGTTGCGTAAAAACAACGGAAAATAATGCTCAAGGGGCAGTTTACAGCCAAACGAAAGTCTACAAAAATAGAAGGAACAAAGAGCAATCGTTAAGCAAATATCGATTGAAATCTGAAAATAATGTAAATTATTTCATGCATATTCCATTCTCGATAGATTGGCATATATTAAGCGACAATTATGTAACATATTTGCATTTCATTTCAACGAAGTCACACGTGATCACACGTGTGTGCCATTGTATCTTATTTGTATCACTGAAAGTTAATGAAATGTAATTAATTACTTAGCTAACATTCGGTTATGCGTCGGTCGTGATTAAGTTGCAAAGTCATGTCTTTTTGTATGTCATCCAATCTGGCATATACGAGTCAATGACGTTAGTAATTTAATATCGGGAGCAAAGTCCTACTTGCACTGTAAGCCGATCGCGACCCTGCACGACACACACACACACGCACGCATGCACTTTCTCGCGGAGAGTATCGATACTCGAATTCTATCGATACACAAAGTGTCCCGGCTTTTGATATGGAAGTCTAGCCGTAAATGAGAAGACGCGCTTTATGATTTTCCAAGAAAGTGTGAGAGAGAGAGAGAGAGAGAGAGAGAGAGAAAAAGGAAACTAAAAAAAAAAACTATTCCGAGACAAAATCTAATTTAGTTTTATCAAGTGTAATTTGTACGTGTATGTATACGTCTGTGTATTTTCTCCACTTGTAACAGATTCAATCAATTAATATAATGAAAGATATTATGTGATAGAAAACTATCGCGCTACACACGATGTTTATCACTACTGGATGGATAAGCAACAATCGCGATATCGCGCAAACATATCAAATGAGAGAGATACTTCCCAGCAGCTATTACATAATATGACAATATTCTCAAATAATCCTCACTCTCTCTCGCGTCGTCCGTCCGTCGGACGTTTCATTTCACAAACTCGCTCGCATTCCTTCTCTTTCTCACGATATCAATCTCGAAATATCGACTTATCTTCCGCTTGATCGAACAATTGATCAAGCGATTTTTTCGCGAGAGAATGAAATCTGAAGACTGATATCTCTCCCAGCCGCCGAGCAAAGGTCAAAACGCGCTGGAAGACGGAAGAGAAGACCCGTTGTTTACCGATCGAGTCGATAAGGATGTTCGATCTCTCGCAACGCGTGCGTCCCCACTTTGATGGAACGCGCGCGCAACGCGATATCCTTGCTCGCTCGTTGGCAGAACGGTACACGCAAAGTGTCTCTCGTACGCGAAGCGGTCTACGGTGACTCGCGTTTTTCCCTCTCGATGCGAGGCGAGTGAGTGAGCAAGTGAGTCCATTCGATCCAGTGAAACGAAATATGGCGAGCTGTAGGTTGTTCGGCGCCCTCGCGCACCGTGCCCATTCCGGCGCAACTTTGGTGACACGTGCAGGTGATTACGATGCGGCTCGAGAACGTTTCGAAGCAGGCACGAAGCCGACGTGAGAACGATCCATCAACGATCGATCTGCGGTTCATGTTTCTCTTCGTTACGTGGATGGGAGGCTCGGCTGGCCTCGGACTGGAAGGGTCGTTTTTAAAGATCGTCTGATGCTCGGGATCACATATAATGTGTAAAGATCAGCCGCGACAAATGAATAAATAATGCGCCGAGCCGATCTCGGTTGGGCAACGAACGTTCGATCGAGAACGAACAGCGGCAGACATCCGTAGATCGATAATGGCGTACGCCGGTTCGAGGCTGAAGATCGTATCTTGAAAAGTCGGTTGAGCCGGATCTTCTTGACATTGTGTCAATGTCGAGTGTGACCGGCTGATTAAGTCCAAGATACGAAAAATTCATTGTGTGACCTTTGCTCTTACGTTATGAAGGGAGCCGATTGCAGGAACCGACTTGTGATATAACTATAATAGTCTTGGCACCGATAGATCTCGAGGTCTCGTTGTCACTAGGAATAAACTGTTACATTTTATGTATTTAAAGAACATGATAATTTATACGTAGGCCGCGTGTAATAGAAATATTCAGCATAAGGTTACTGATATTTTCCAGTTCTTTAAGCTACCATTGTGGGAAATGTACTACTTTGACAGGATTGTTCCTTCTACTCTGAATAATCAATAAATAATAAATCAAATTGCATATTGTATTAAAAATTCCTAACAACCTAATTGCATAAAATATCAACCATATTGTTTACTTATCCCTGTAGATTTAAATTAGCACTTAAAATGTGCAGTAAACTGTCAAATAGCCCATTCAATTTGAATTTCAATGTCTAACTTGAAGTTGGTCAGGAATTCCGAGATTATCTTCTGTTTACAATGATGAGTACTTTCATTGGAATTTTTCCTGACACCTGTCCAAACTATTCAAACAATTGAGGCGAGTCCAACAAACATCGATCGAAATGATTAATCATTAGTTCCGTTCAAACTACCAAACTTTGAAATTCAAGTTTTTCCACTTTGAGTAATTTGAGTGCATTATCTGAATATTTTATCTGAACTTCAATTGACATAAGCAACCAAACAATGAAGAATCTTTCTACGAATAATTCCTTACATTTTCTAAATAATTTTGTGTTTTCTAAATAATACGAATATAAATTTGAAGAAAGTAAAAATATATCAACTCTATCGCAACCCTAAGAGGAGCCTAAGGCAAAAAAGTAAGGTTAAATATTGTATAAAAAAGATATATACTATTTGTTGTTTGTTGTTTATATTTTATATTTGACATATTTAACATGTTTATTCAGAATTGCACACAATTTCTATGTTGCATATGTGTTCTATATTTAGCTATTAGATATATATTCAAATAGTTTTCTTATATCTTAATGTTTAACTACAGGTATGTACCAAACATCAAGAACATTAGCCACCGCAGCAAATAGGAAACATTTCAAGTGCAAAGTAGTAGATGATGTAGCAGTTATTACAATGGACTCACCAGGAGTCAAGGTATACATACAAATTATAGTTATAATTACAATCATAGTTACAATTTCTGTTCTTAATATTCTTTACTCTTTCTGTTCTTTAATATTCTGGCATCTTAGTGGTTTGCATAAACTTTAAACAATTTAAAAAATTCATCTGCATCTGAAATTCTGCTGATGTAAAATATAAAATTGCATAAGGTATCTGTTAAGTAATTTTAATCCTTTTCAAAGATAATGTTTATATGTGCTTATATAATATATAGTGTTTAATTTCATTAAAACAGTGTTTATTTCTTTTTTATTAAACAAAGCATTTAGATACTCCTAAAGTAGAAAGAATTTATATAGATTTTTGTCTTATCTATATTACATAAATTTTTGTCTTATCTACTGTCTTGTCTTATCTACAGATGAATACTTTGCATAAGGAAGTAATGGAGGAAATCAAAGGGTTGTTGACGGAAATTCAATCGAATTCACTTGTAAATTCAGTAGTCCTCATTAGTGGGAAACCAGATAATTTCATCGCTGGTGCAGATATTAAAGTATTAGAAAATCTTACGGATGTAGAAAGTAGTTATCAGATGGTAAAAGAAGGAGCTCATATTTTGAATATGATAGCACAAAGTAGCAAACCAATTGTTGCTGCTATTCAAGGCAGTTGTCTTGGTGGAGGATTAGAGGTAACGTGCAATATTCATATTAAACATTTAAGGAAACATATTTAACTTCATTATCAGATATTGAATACATATTGTACTTTGTTTATTTAATTTTTGGACTTTTACTGCGTCCATTTTCAATTTTTTTCTGATGTTTCATCAAATCAAACATTTCTTTACACTGTGGAAACTTAAGATATCAGATTATATTGTATCCTGTTAGAAGTGAGAAGTGATACATAATTAATTCTTACGGTGTATAATGAAATAAAGTAAATTTTTATATGATATTATTTGGATTTTGAAATAAAAATTTAAAATAAAGAAAATATATATGTAGAAATGAGAGAAATATAATTGTCATAATAATAAATATAAATAGAAACTTTATTAATTAATCCGATTGCTTTTGTTCAGGTCGCATTAGCCTGTCATTATAGAGTCGCTGTTAACAGTAAAAAGACTAGTCTTGGATTACCTGAAGTAATGCTTGGGTTACTTCCCGGCGGTGGTGGCACTCAGCGATTACCTAAAGTAGTTTCCCTTCCTACTGCCCTGGATATGATGCTTACTGGTAGAATGATTAAGGCTGACAGAGCGAAGAAACTTGGATTAGTGGACATGATCGTAAATCGTCTAGGTCCGGGAATCAGCACACCCGAACAAAAGTAAAAAAACGCACTTTCAAATTAATTTACTACAACATTTCATACGAGCTTTAAAAAATCGTAATAACTCTTACCTAACTAATAAAGTCTAAGGCTTCATTGCTATCATCTCTCCGTTCCTATATTTTTAAGAGCTGCTTAGTATCTTGGATTTTAAAAAAGTAAAGCCTCTTTCATAAATTAAATTAAGAATAAGACTGAAAATTCTTCGCAAATCTCGAGAAATCAAAAAAGTTAAAGTTGACTGTATATTTTTCAGTACACTGAGATACTTAGAAGAGAACGCAGTGAAAGCCGCAAAAGACCTCGCAAGTGGAAAACTGAAGGCCGAACGCGACCCAAAGACCATCATTGGCAAGATAACGCAACAGGTTCTGTCTTTGAACTTTGTCAAGGATCAGATATTCAAGAGAGCAAAGGCCCAAGTGATGAAAGTAACTGGTGGTTTATATCCCGCTCCGCTCAAGATCTTGGAAGTAATAAGAGTCGGTCTGGATAAAGGTCCTATTGCTGGATTCGAGGCAGAGGCCAAAGGATTCAGTGAATTGACGGTTACACCAGAGAGTAAAGGTCTCATTAGTCTGTTCTTTGGTCAAACAGCTTGCAAAAAGAATCGTTTTGGCTCAGCGACGAATGCACCCAAGTATGTATATATATCTTCTTATGGCTTATCTTATTGATTACTACAAAACAGACCGCGAATCTTTTGGTGCAGTAGTATTTACGATAATTAGTCACTACCTAATTTTGTTCTATATTCTTCATTATTATTATTTTTTTATCACATTTTTCTCATTTTGTGAATAGAAAAGTCGCTGTAGTTGGCGCGGGTTTAATGGGCGCGGGTATTGTCCAAGTTAGTATCGACAAAGGCTACAGTGTCGTCATGAAGGATACCAATGAAAACGGACTGTATCGTGGTATAAATCAAATTCAGCAAGGTCTAAACGCTGCTGTGAAGCGCAAACGAATCTCCATGTGCGTAACTCCTGCAGTATTAAACAGGACTTCGTAACAAAATTGTAGTCTTCTTAATGAGAAACTTTCTGTGCAGTGTCGAAAAAGACAAGTATTTGTCACAACTCGACACAACGTTGAGTTATGACTCTTTCAAGAATGCGGACGTGGTGATTGAGGCAGTATTCGAGGATATCAATATCAAGCACAAAGTCCTGAAGGAGATTGAATCCGTGGTGCCAAATCACTGCGTCATTGCTACTAATACGTCTGCAATTCCCATCACGAAGATCGCTGCCGGCAGCAGTCGCCCTGATAAAGTAACATATAAGGAATATATATAAATTAACAACTGTCCTATATGATCTTATACGAAATATGATTGTTTTCAGGTGATCGGTATGCACTATTTCTCTCCCGTCGACAAGATGCAGCTGCTGGAAATTATAACACACAAGGGAACATCCGAGGAAACCACCAAAGTCGCTGTGGACGTCGGCCTGAAACAGGGCAAGACCGTCATTACCGTAGGTGACGGTCCTGGATTTTACACCACCAGGATACTCTCCACGATGCTGTCAGAAGCAATTAGACTGTTGCAGGTAAATGGCAATTATATTTATCATAATGATTACTTACAGAAGAATCTATAAAATGTAAAACAAACGTGATGTATTGAACAGGAAGGTGTAGATCCAATGGACCTAGATCAATTGACGAAAAAGTTTGGCTTCCCAGTTGGCGCAGCCACTCTGTCCGACGAAGTGGGTATCGACGTGGGCGCTCATATCAGCATAGATCTCGCCAAAGCCTTCGGCGAACGCTTAAGAGGCGGTGACATAAACATACTTAGCGATATGGTCAAGGCTGGTTTTCTCGGTAAACTTTTGCTTATATAATCATATTGCTCAAATCACTATGTAGTTCCTAAAAGATCAAAGCGAAGCATTTTACTCACGTGTACAGAAAGAATTAAATATTTGTTATGACTTATAACTTGCGTTATAAGTTTATCAGTGACTCGACTTGACGGCATCTTATATAAAGAGTTTATTTTACTACATGCTGTGTATCCATTTCGCAGGGCGCAAGTCTGGTAAAGGTATATTTGTATACGAAACCGGCTCCAAGCACCGAAATGTAAATATTGGCGCCATGGACATCTTTAAAAAGTACAAGCTCGAACCCAAAGGCAGCACGTCCAACGAGGACCGTCAATTGAGAATGGTCTCGCGGTTTGTCAACGAGGCAGTGTTATGTTTGGAAGAAAATATCCTAGCCAATCCCGTAAGTTCGTATATAACGTTTAACAAATTATCTAATTCTACTAACATCTCTACTTTCATTTAACAAGTCTACTTGGCGTCAATAGATAATGAAAGAATTAATCTGAATATTTTTGACACAAAAATTTAAATTCCGCAAACACATGTATAAATTGTCATAGACTTATAAAAACTTACACGGAATACACCATTTTTCACCTTTATACGCTGTTTAATGTTTTCATTAGGACCTTCTGTTTATTAACGATTTATAATTTAGTTGGAAGGCAACGTAGGAGCTGTGTTCGGCTTGGGCTTCCCGCCATTCACAGGTGGGCCGTTCCACTGGGTGGACCGTTACGGCGCACATCGACTCGTCAAGAAGATGGAGGAGTTCCGAAGTCACTACGGCGATACCTTCCGTCCATGTCAGACGTTGCTCGATATGGCTGCCGACTCTACACGAAAGTTCCATCCGAAATAAAAAGTCCGATAAGTGTCTATCTCAGGCGAATTTCTACGTTAGTCCATTTTCTCGCTCATCCTCAAGTTACATTTTACACTCTTCATAATCAGAAACCACCTTCAAATGGATACAAGAATTATTAATCTCTTTTTTTGATCCTGCAACTTGAAACTCATATTTTGCATGTTCCACTTTATTTAAGATCAGCTGAAACGAGATTTATCGTTCTCTGAGAATCAAGGAACCCTTAAATATCTTTAACATTTTCTCTTTTTTAGCTAATTTATGTCAGAATAAACTTAAGATGAAGTTTGTCAAGTACTTGAATGTTATAAATTACAAATATAACATCGTACTTTGGTACTTTTTCATTGCTTACATTAATCACTTAAGAATTAAAAAGTTCCACAATTTAAGCACTATCTATTTGAGTAAGATACGGAAGTTTTATCCGAAATAATATTTCTATATTGAATTAATATAGAAAGTTTGGCCTATCTCTACCGAACCTTCATTAATACCATCGTGAATTTTGCAATAGATAAAAATATTAAAGAAAGTGCGGTTTCTCAGCTGTGCTCTTGAATAACATAGATCCTTCCACGCGAGGTATAGTGCATGAAATTCCATGTGTCTCCAAGTCGGACAATAGGAGGCTAATATGCGTATCACGAATAATACGCAGAGACTGTCTTGTGTAACTTGTAGAGTACTATATATTTTTGGACTTGCAATTTACACGACCCGTTCAGTGGTGTTTTACGAAAGCATTGTAGATAGAGTCTGCATTTATTACGTGCAAGAGTTTTTTACACGCTACAGTATATCTGCTATAGATATTTGATACTACCATACGCATATATATATACAGAATTATATATATATATATATATATATAGAATTATACATATATATATATAAGATCTTGTTTGTAAATTAGATCAAGTTATGTAACAATTATACGTCTATTTTTGCAAAGTTTATCGAGAATAAAGAGTTTCTACATATAATTTATATCTTATTTTCTGTTTAGATAATTCTCTCTCTCTCTCTCTCTCTCTCTCTCTGTATTATTCACCAGTCTATTTATTATATAAATTATTATGAAAATTATTCAGTTATTTTTGTCTTCGGCCAATTCATAATTAAGCTGTATTCGATATTTTTCTTCAGCTGATGCATAATTATGTATATATATTATGCAATATTTCTGTTAATATTCATTATGATCCTACGAAACGCTTTATCAAGTAGTGCCAAGTGATTTGTTGTTTCTACGCTTAAGTTATAATGACGATGCGGAAATAATTAGTTTTCGTATTTAATAGCAGTTTTATGCGGTCAACTTTACGAAAGAAAAAAAGGAGAGATTAATAAACCTGTCTAGTTATTAATATTACTGTCTCGTGCAGACGCGATATAAAAATGGAAATATTTTGCTTGATGCAACAGCCGAGAGATGTTGCACTCTTGTTTGCGCCGATATCTTGTCTTTAAAGAACCTCCAATTTGAAAGTGCCTCATAACATAAATATCTGATATACCTTTCGCACTCATTAATCGTTCCATTATCTCGAGACAAAACCAATTCTCGACATAATCTTCAAGACGCTTCCGAATTATTGAATTTCCCGGTTCCAAATTTCAAAATTCACACTTCGCTTCTTGCGTACACAAACCAAGAATAAAAGATTACATTATCGCGTTATAAACAAGTTGCAAATATTAACCGTCTGGCACGTCCTGCTAAAGTTCGATCTTCCCCTATCGGACGTCGATTGAGCGTTTAATGACGGAAATGTTTAATCGTCGAGGATAAAAAAACGCTACGACAGAGACGGAGAACAGTAAAGCGTGTCTAATTCGGCGAATCCCACGCGATCCCATGCGGTTTGTATTCCGTTTTTTCCGTACGAGAAACTTCGTCGCTCGAGCTTCGAATTTCAATAAAGGTGAACGAAGAGTAATCGCGAGGATATTTTGCGTCATCTACCGGTCCAGCACACCTGTTTATGATATCAACGTCGTTCAATGAGACCGAGTCCTTGGCTGATGCAAGAAAATCGGGGATTTCGCGAGCGACCGCCGTCGCGTCGCCGTTATATGCACGACGACGATGTTGTTCTCACTCGTCCTGTTTCTGGTGCCGCGCACCGGCTCTGGAAAAGTCCAGAGAGACGACCGGGCGCGCACCGGCTTCGTGAAACGCGGTTGCGACAGCCCGCGTCTACGTCGGCGCGAAAACGCCTTCCCTCGCTGAAGTTCTCGCGCCGTAGAAAAATGTTGAGCTTGTTCTTCGAAAGGATACGCCATTCTGCCCGACTTGGCGCGGGCGAATTTCCCGACGAAAGTGCGCGATGAAACGGGCTTGTCCCCTTCCGGCGTTGTGTTGTTTGAGAGAGAAACATGATGAAAGGCGTCGAAGCGATGACGAGACAGAATTATCTTATCGAAAGTTATTACGCGACATATTAAAATAAGATTACACACGCAATAATGTCCTTTTGGACTGTCCTGTCTCTCCGACGGAATCGCCCGATAACGATAACACGCGAATGATCATTCCTACCGTAAGATAATTTCTCTCGGGAATTCATTGTAGTTTGATTTACATCGGGACTCTAACTGGTATTTTCTTGATATAGCTGCATCAATTATCAGACACGTTTCAGCGCTTGTTTATAATACCGATAACGTCTGATATCATCTAGGTGAGATAGGTGATAAAAATCTCGTCGCTGATAACGCACATCTGAAATTACGCAGAATTGTAGACCGAATTTGCGAATTCGACGCATTCCTCGAGAGGTGTCAAGTCAATCTCAGATGTGAAAAAATAATAAGTTTACAGAGTAAAGCGGAATAAAATAAAGATGGAGACAAGAATTAAGAACACTCAGAAACAAGTCAAATTATCGTCAAACAGCGAAGCAAAGTGTTGACAGAAAAGATGCTAGATCCGGCGAGAGAAGAAAGACTAAAGTATATATACACAATAATTCATCGAAAGAAACGCAAAGAAGGTTAGAACCGAGACAAAGACAAATACAATTATTAAATACAAGGAAGTCTCTCCAATATACTAGCATAATTCTCATTTAAATTATCACTGCACAGATTTAAACTGTTTTCTTTTGGCGTTTAATATAAATAATTTCTAAAATCTCTATTTCTTTTTTTAATAATGGATAATTCATGATCCAAAATCTTAACATCTTCCCAATCAAAGTCACGATTAAACTCTCCCAATGTCCGACCACTTTGAAAAAAAATATTTACTATTTATTTTAACAATAATGAGTGAAAGTAATAATTATTATAAAAAAAACTCCAATATTTCACGATTAGTTGGAAAAAAATATACTCAATTTGATACTCTTGTATTAGAATAAAAATTAATTATACAAGTATGCACCTACAGTTTGACAAAATAATGGTTAATCGTTAATAAATTCATTACGAGATAGCATCTATATTTATATTATTTCCCGTTAGCACGTACTAATTTTCTAATTGCGGTCAGACACTGGGACAAATATATCTGAACACTGGGCCATAATCTATTTCAATTGTCCGGTCACTGATACATTAATGCACTTCTAATTACTTGTGTAAATTACTCGTATTTCATTAATAATAGATATAGTATATATTGGTTTAAATCATTTTTCTCTACTTAAGGGAATCTTAAGTTTTTTAATAAATACAAATATTTATATCAAAACTATTCTTAATATTATATATTGTATTCTTTGTGACGACCTCAATACGCTCCAAAGTTCGCTCCGGTTACTGAGACATTTGCCTTGTTTGGCGCAGAATAAAAAATTATGCATGTTTCAGCACGATCTTCAATAACAAGAAAACCAATTACTCCACGTTGTGTCGACGTATAAAATTCCCTTTCCAATGCGGAATCTTATCAGTTCTCGACCGAGAGGTGCCTTTTTCGACTCGGTCAGCTCGTATTTTTAGAAATGTACAAGTGTTTGAGACTGTCACTCTCGCGCGATAGCACGAGACGGTGAGCGTCGCTCGTCTCGTCGCTAATAATATTTTCACCTGCGGCTCGCCGCCAGACGAATCTTATCGATGTCGGCGACCTCGCGAATACGAAGCCCGGCCGGCGAGTATAAACGTCTAATGGCATAACAATCTTGCTTAATTGTAGCAACGCTCCGCGTTCCGTTTCTTTCGTTTTCTTCCTTTCGACAACTTCGTGCGCGCGATCTCCGCCGCGATAATCAGTCCCAACGTTGCAACATTCCTCTTCCGGGACGTCTCTAATATTTTTCTTCGATTCGCCGCGCACTTTCGCCCGTGATGCGACTTTGACTTCACGTGCCGTTTTCAATCATATCTTATCGCAGACGTCTGGTATTCGCGCAAAGCCGCGCGTACGAGAGCGCGATGGGACGCTTTGCTCAAACACGATGTCATCACCGACGAATGCGACTCATCGTTGCAACTCGACTTATCGACTCGTATCACGCGTGCTTCGAGGCTGATGGCCACGTGCGCGCTCATCGGGACGCTCTTGAGCAAGCAGGCACGTTCATTTCCTTTTTCGTTATCGCGCTGAGACCATCCCATGCCGCGACCTTCCTCACAGAATTTTAACCGTGTCCCCTCGGCTACGCAAAGTCCGCGCTTCGTCCGTCCGGAAAGAAGAAGGTTCCGGTCTGGAGGGCACGCGAGGTTTCCTGGAAATCTCGCATCCCGCAGGCGAGACGATTTTTCAAGAGATTTATACGCGCATAAACGTCAGCGACAGAAGAAAACTTACAGAGAGCGGAAATCATTCTTGTTGGTTCGAGCGATAAAAAGCGCAAAGCGCAGTTCCTCCGATAGTATAAACGTCTAAAGTGCGCCTTAAAGAGCGTCTGAAAGACGTGTGAGGTGAAATATAGGCCGAGTAATGGGATTACGGACACGAGTTACGACAAGTCGCGGAGGACAGGGAAAGAGAATGACATTCCGTGGCGATTTACGAAAGTATACAATTTATTAGACTGTAGAAAAACTCTTTACACAGTTTAACGATACATATATACAGTAAAGTCTTATTGCCGCCGAGCGAAGTTTCCTCGCCCGGCCGTGATATCTACGCGTATCCACGATCTTGTGTGGACGGACCTGGACTTCTTTCTTGCTGATCGCAACGATCACGAGATAGATTATTAAATAAACTCTGGAATAAGAAAACAACACGCCTCGCGAGTCTCCGGAGAGAACGCGAGCGACTCGAAAGAAGAAAGAAACAACAAAATCGTCGGCCGAGGAAACCACTCAGTCAGAACCACAACGTTGATTCAAGGTTGACTCGACGTCGATGAGGATTGAATGAACGTTGATTCAACGTTGGTTCATCGATCATTTCAACGTCGAATCGACGTTGCGATCCTAACTGAGCACGTTCCCCGCGATCTCGCCGTCTCTGCAGGTCCGTCTCCGCGCGTTCTCTATGCTCAACACAACATGTGTAATGTATGTATAACTAATCGTCGGCTATCAATAATCTTAGAAGCCGCATATGTGTATGACCGCTATGTACATAAATCATAACACGTCTCTCGTTTCCTCATAAATAAATATTTTTCCTCTCCTCTTTCTCTCTCTCTCTCTCTCTCGGTCAACGCGCTGAAACTCGCCGACCGCATTCCCAGTTAGAACCATAACGTTGATTTGACGTCGATTAGACGTTGAAGCGGTCGATGAAACGTTCAATCAACGTTAATTCAACTCTCATCGACGTCGAATCGATCGAACGTTGTGCCTCTGACTGGCTTTTGAGGAGACCTCTACTCGCCGAGAGCAGCTGCCTTCATCGAGGGTGACTCTGGCGACGCGAAAGTCCGAGAACGCGAAGGACACCCAACGAAAAGGTTTGTGCGCCTTCGCGCCGTCTGCAGGGACGAGCGATCGACGATAGTGCCCGTGTCGAAGTTCGTAGCCGTCTTCTCTCACAACCGATGTTTAGCGTTGAATCGCGCGCTTGAGCTGCGACTTGAGCTCGAGCTTGTTACCAATATGGACAATGCTCTGCGTCCGTCGTGGTCGCTCTTCAGGTCGAGAAGCATATGGCAACATTAAACGCTAAATATACGCTGCGAACACGAGCAGGACTTTCCGCGAGGGACTCTCGAGTCGTGATACTCTCGACTGAACTGTGCACTAGCCTTCACGCGTCACGGATCACAGACACACTTAGGTACTCGGTTCGCAGACGACGGTGACGAGTCCTCCTACGCAATGACTTATCGCCGTCTCGTGCTTTTTGTGTTGCTTTGTCTCCTTAAGTACGCCTCTCTCTCTCTCTCTCTCTCTCTCTTCCTGCCTGTTCGGCCTGTTTTCGCTCTTGCTTAGCTCCTGCATATTTACTTAGGTCTTGGACCTTCCCACAGTGTCTACTGACGTCCCACAGACGTCGGCTGATTTACAATCTTCTCCAGCTCTCCTTCAAATCCCGGTGACCTTCGTTCATCACCTTCCCAACCGACCAGATTGCGTGGGTCGGTTAATCGACCGCTGCCACGTTTGTGCTTCCAGCAGTGGCTCACCGATGCGAAAGCGACTCCCCGTGTTCGACATCTTCGACAGTCGTCCGGAATCAGCCCGATTGATCCTATGCATTGTTAACTTAGCAACTCGAGTATCAAAATATGGAGTCTTTCATCTCCACCTCCGCACGCCGGGAGTAACCCAGGAGCCAGGATCAGGACCATGCGGGGACCACGAAATGCAGCTTTCAGGCGACCCTGGTGGTCGCGCTTCGAGTCGTTCAAGCCGCCAATTGAGGTGGCAACAGCTGTGGGACCGGCCGCGCCGTCAATCGCGGCGCCAACACCGGCAACAGGCTCACTCTCAAGGGCGTGGGGGCCACTTGCGAGGTGGAGAGCTGGCTACCGGCGGAAGCAGACGACGACGACGCCGCCGCCGCCGAGGACGACTTGTCCCTGGCGTGGCGCTTCACGTGCTTCGCCAGATGGTCGCTCCTCATGAAGCGCCTCTGGCAGACGACGCAGGCGAACTTCTTCTCGCCAGTGTGCGTACGCTTGTGCCGTGAAAGCTCGTCGCTGCGGGAGAAGCGACGATTGCACTGGTCGAAGGGGCACGGGAACGGCCGCTCGCCGGTGTGGGTGCGCGTGTGCGCCTTCAGGTGCGACGACTTGAAGTAGTTCTTGCCGCAGCCCGGGTGCTCGCACTCGTACACACGCCGACGCGTCTCCGTGGCGCCTGTGCTCATCAAACTGGCCGCCGCCGCGGCGCTCGCCGGTGCGGCGTTCGCCACCAGCAGAAGAGGTGCCCGAGGAAGGACCAAGGGGGATCCCAGGAGACTAGCCACTACGATGGGTGCTGGTTTCGGTGCCAGAGGTTGCAATCTCGGTAATTGTTGCGGCTGCGAGAGCTGCGGACAGCTCTCACGGTCGGTGTTCTTGCTGTTGACGATGATCTCCTCTTTACGCAGGCTCATCTTGAACTTGAGGCTGCGCAACACGTTCTCCACCGGCGCCAAAGCGCTCACTCGCGCGCTCGCTCGCGGACTACTGGCTCTCTGGCGAGCGACGGGCTGCTGGTCACGTGGTGCTGCGCAGCCTTCGATCGCGGGAGTCCCCGTTAAATTGGCGGGACTGCAAGTGCCGTCCCGATTGGCGCGCATTATCACCGAGACCCGGGCCGGCTCTGGACTCGGCGGTGGAGTGCCGTCTAGCAGCAGCTAAAAAGAGAACAAGGGGGAGCTTGAACATTTCGTCCGATGGAGCAGTAAAAGCATTGCGACATGTTCGATGTCGAGCGCAGTCGAGCAGAGAGAGTTGTTGATTGGAAAAACGGACCGAAGGGGCTACTTTCCGGAGAAAGTTCGTCGGTTCGCGGGCACATCGCGAGCCATCTACCCGGCGAAAGGCGCGGACGCGCACACCGAGTCCGTTTTTATCAGAAAGTTATATCATCGCGAGATACGCTCACTCGAAGGATAAGAAAGCGTAGAGAGCGCGAAATGGCGCGCGCGCGCACTCGAACGGAGTCGTATCGCAACCGCTCGCGACGTTCCAGTCGATTAGGTCGAAAGGAGAAATCGAAGGGGGACGGCCGAGGGAGAAAGAGAGAGAGACAGAGAGAGAGAGAAGCGGGGAGTGTTTGCAAGCAAAGTTCGTCCGTCGATAAGGCCATCCGCTGTTTACCTTCGCCAGCTCGCACTGCTCGACGCATTGCCGTTTTCGAGGTGGTTCGTCCTCCTCGGTGTCGGAGGGTTGAGGGGTGGGCGGCAAGGCGGGATGAGAGCTCGCGTCCTCCTCGTCCTTCCGCCTGGTCTTCTCCGATTGGACCGGAAGTTTCTCTCCCAATAGAGCCGCCACACTAAACGATAACTGCAGCGGTTCCATCTGCGGAACAAAGAAAGGTGTGAGCGCATCCTTTTGCGAAAGGAAGCGAATCTTTCGGCGCAAGACGTGTTGAAAAAAATGAAAAATTAATGCAGTCGTGTTGTCGGTATTGTTAAGTAATAAAATAATAGCCGAGAGATGCGCGACTTCAAGGCAGACGCAGCTAAGACGTAAAATACGCGCGTATCCTTTTTATTTAATTTTGTGACACATCTCGATCTCGGAGGAAATCTAATGATGTATTGCGAGTAGACGAGTAGCGTTGTTTCTGATATCTGATGTTGTTGAACATTCTTTCTTTACCTTTTATTTGTTTATTTAATGCCAGATTTTCTTTCATATTTTTCCCGGGAGAATTCGAGACAAGAATGCAAATAGTAGCTTCTACAATCATTGAAATATGAGCTCACGTTCCAGTTGATTCAAAAATAGAATCTCTCTCTGCACGCTTCCAAAAAATTTTATCTGGGATATTAGTTACTAAAATAGATTAATGATAACCGCCACGATATCAGATCACTATTAATCGTTTTTCAATTGTCAGGTAAATTGAGTCGTTCACGCACAGAAAGCACGCACTAAAAACTCAGAAAGCACACAATGCTTGCAACGAATAATCGTATAAAAAATGAAATTCAACTTCTCAAACACCGTATGAGATGAAGCGCGCTATTTTTTACCACGGCACAAGTCACCACGGTGAACCACGATAGAGACAAACAACATCCACGAACAACGGAAAATACGCTCATTCATCCGGCATGCCGCGGAGGATGCGGGAGATGTTCGAGTTTCGCGGGCGACACGGTGCGCAATGTTTTGTGGCGGTACATTTAACTCGCTGCCACTTACGTGCTTCAGCTGGGGCGAGGCCGGCGGCGAAAGAGGTGCCTGGTTCGCGTCCATATTCGCGCAGGACCAACGACACGATTCGGCCGGGCAATGAGAGAGAAGGAAAAAACAAAGAAATCGCCCGGAGCCGACGAGGAAGGGAAGAAATAAAAGAAACCAGAAGATAAGTCAACAACGAGAGTACACACGCCGAGACGAGCCTACGTGCGCAAGCAACAGAGAAGAGCGATAGCAACACGCACGCTACGGTCGGGCGTCTCGCGACGCAATGAAGCTTTCTCGGGTCGCCGCTGCCTTGGGACGCGTCGAGCCGCGCCGCTGCTGTGTGTCTGTGTGCGTGTGTGTGATCACACGCCGCGCTCGCGCGACCAATCGCGGCGAGGGGCTCGCCGGCGGCCGGCCAATCCGCGCCGGCTGATCAGCCCGGCGCCGCGTGATCGCGAGCGTGCTGTTCACGTGCTCCCGGTCTGACTCGGACCGTGATCGTGACGTCAGCGCGCGTGGCGAACGCGGTCGATACGTCATGGCGTCACAGTGTGTCTCAGCGAGCGTCATGCAACTTCCACGCCTCCCGCTTCGCCGCGAATGCCTTGTCGCATCGCGCGCTCTTTCTCTTTCTCTCTTTCTCTCTCTCTCTCTCTCTCTCTCTCTCTCTCTCTCTCTCTCTCTCTCGCCCGTGCACGTTGTTACGACGGTATCGGCCTCCCTCCGTCTCCTTCTTTCCCCTCATGCGTGCTCATTCGCAGCCGTCACGGCCTCGTCTACTTCGCCCCGTGCGTGGTGACTCTCCTCGTCCTCCTCCTCCGAAGCGATATACACTCGGCTTCTCGCTCGCGCTCTCTCGCGCTCGGTTCCTTCCTTCATCTCCGCGTCGCGCACGCTGCCGTTTATTTTATGCAGACGCAATGACCCATGTTCTAAGCTACGTTGTTTTCGCGAATGTTGCGTTATTCCTCGGCACGGATTATTTGTGCTTCTTTTTTTTTCCCCCCCTCGTTCTTGCGTGCGTCCGCGATAAAAATCATGCAATGATTTATTTTTACGTTTCCGATATCGATGTCGCGTTTCGTAGCGTGCGAGAGAGCGACTCTCGCACTGCGGGTCTATTCTATTAATACTTTGTAGGGAATTGTCATCACAACATTGCATGCGATTAAGCCGTCGCCGCGCGTGCTCGGCGATTATAATTTCAAGGTGTTTTAACGAGTTTTCTCTCTCTCTCTCTCTCTCTCTCTCTCTCTCTCTTCCCCCTTCCCTGTTTTGTTTTGGCTCTGCTCTCCGCGAGTGATTCTTATGCCGTGACACACCCGCATCCGGTACGCGCGTGTCGTTCGGCATCCGAACGAGCCCGCGCGAGCCCCCGAACGGACAGTTGCTGCAGAAACACTTGACACGTCGAAGATTTGCGGCGCGACTACAAAATGACGCATCGCCAAGGTGGTCATTTGGAGACTTGTACACCTGGAAGAGAAAAAAGACTGGAAAGGAAGAGAAAAACTGAAGGAAAAAGAAAAAAACACCGGATCGTACGTCGGAGGTGAAGTCCGTCATCGCTTCGTACGTCAATGAATCAGGATGCGAGTATCGTACACCTTGCATTTCGACGTTTCTGCTGATCAATTTGTTTACGAAGTAAGGGAGAAAAAGAAGCGGTGGCAAGAATTCGAGATAACAAAAAGCTAGCAGCAGTGAGGCAGCGAGACTCGCGCGTGTGACAACCTGATAATAAATCGCTTTACCGCGCGATATTATCTTCGTCATTCTCTCCATCTTCGCGAATGATAACGATACGACGCCCGTTGATTATTACACCGGGGTGTGTTTTTTGACAAAACCGGTATACACGATCGATCGGTTTCCCGCGGACGAAGGAAAGCTTCGCGATTTCCTCACGAAAGATCTCCTTGAGACAGTAAATCGTTTATATGAATTAATGAACGAGACCGACAAAGCTATCAATTATCACAACGGCAAATGACAGGTTTCTGGGAAACATAAATAATGCAAGAGGAAAATGATCACTCATGTTTCCTAGTTTCATCAACGTCATTTAGAAACAAAAAACGCCTTCCTCACGAATTTTTGTAATTCCCCGAAGAAATTACAAACCGCTCATTTTTTTTTTATCGCCTTGGTATTGCTAATAAACTTGAAGAGTTCATAAACTCATGTTCGATCCTATCGAACGTCAATTAAGTTTTAACCTGAGTTTAAACTCTACTCAGGCAGATAAACACTCAAACCTGGGTTGAGGTTGAAAAACGATGCTGGTAAAAACAGGCATTAGAGAAATTAACGAGCTGCACGCAGGCTCGAGACGAGTGCCACTCGGGCCTCTTCATTCGTCGCGCTTTAATTTGATGAGACAATTAAGCGACGTTCGGCAGAGGTCCGAGGTCCAATCCGCAAGAGAAGAAGCGCGTTCGGCTCCCCGAGATCGAGACTGCGTTAAATATATCAACCGCCCACCTCTCTCGCGGGCTGCTGAATCCGAGTCCACCTCGGGCTATGGCGACTGCTCGATCAGTTTCTCGGGGAAAACCCCGATTGGACGCACATTTTCAGAGCTGATCGCGATCTCGATGGCGATCGCGTTCTCGAACACGAGGTAGATTAGATCGAGTTAGTTTGCGAACGGACAAACCGTCCGCCCGCGGAGATTCCCCGCAATGTCGCGAATGAACGCGCTGAAGTTTCGCGCGAAGCGGAGGGTACGTAGAAAAATTAAAGTTGAAGAGTAAGCAGATCGATCAATATCACGTTCGACCATCTCAACACGACGATAGCTTTGCGTTCTCCAATGATCCTCGAGCGTGACTGGCCGATTCGCTTGCGTTTCTCGCTACTCGCATTCTTTCTTTCAATTTTTACGGCAATTTTTACGCGTCGCTCGAAGCTGTCGCTGTGTTGAGAAACTCCCAACTGCGATTCGACGATTTGTTTGTCGCTCGGCTCGTCGCATTACACTTTCCCGGCCGCCGCGGCCAGAGGTCGCGCGCCCTAAGATCCGCGTCCTTCCCAGGACGAGGAGGGAACTTTCCTCTCTCTCTCTCTGTCGCAGTTACTTCACAACATTGTCCGCCTCGCCTCGCAAGCAGGCAAAACGCGCGCGCGCGAATCAGCCGGCGGGCTCGTGATCGGCGATCGCGAACGCGGCCTCGTCTCCGCCTTGCGCTCTCGCTATCTCGCGAGTTAACGCCGACGCGCAAAAGTGTCGTTGATCTTCTTTTAGCTGCGTTCCGAAATGCGCGAAAACTAAGTACTAACGGTACCGTTCTCGCGTTTCAATATGGTTTTTTTTTCAGAAAGGTAAATGTTCCAGTAACCGGACGTTTAAGCGTAGGTCGTCACAAAAAATATAATATATAATATTAAGAATAGTTTTGATGTCAATATTCGCATTTATTCGAAACCTTAAGATTCCCTTAAGTAGAGAAAAATCATTTAAATCAATATGTATATATATATATATATATATGTATATCTAATATTAATGAAATATTTACACAAGTAATGAAGCGCTTTAATGTACCAGTTGTACCGGACAGTTGAAATAAGTTATGGATATAATTTGTCGCGCCAATGTGCGGATATAATTTGTCTCAGTGTCTGACCGTAATTAGAAAATTAGTATGTGCTGAACGGGAAATAATATAAATATAGATACTATCTTTTAATGAATTTATTGACGATGGACCATTATTTTGCCAAACCATAGGTGCATACTTGTATAATTAATTTTTATTTTAATACAAAAGTATCAAATTGGATATATTTTCTTCCAACTAATCGTCAAAAATATTTGAGTATTTTTTACAATAATTATTACTTTCATTCATTATTGTTAAAATAAATAGTAAATATTTGTTCAAAGTGGTCGAATACTGGGACGTGTCCGGGACGTGCCATTGGGCATGTTTACCTCTGCAAGATAGTAAAAAGATTTACTGCCTTTTTCAAGAAAATAGCTTTTAGGGAATTACCCGGCAAAGGGCCGCTTTTACCAAGCCCCGCATTAAACTAATTGATTTGATAACCTCGCAGAATTCCAATTGGAACCGCTTGAAGAAGAAAGAGAAAGTGAGGATTGAATCAGCAACTGCAGTTGGAATCTTGTAAGGTTACTAAATCGGTCAGTTGAACCGGAATTTGGTAAAAATGGTCCCAATTCCACGCATTATCCCGAGGTAGTGCAAGTCCACTAATGCATATAGCGCTTAAACTTGTATAAGAAATGAAAAAGTGTCATTAACAAGATAATTAACACGATAATTGACGGAGGGGAAAATAAAAACTTATGAACTGCGTGAAATATCTTTTTTGTCGTCTAATGGCGAACCTTGAAAATAATCTTCAATAAAATATGCGATACTTTTATGCACCAAGTAAAGTTCAGTTAGCCGTTATTCTAAATATACTTTCAATCTTTACATTCAGATAAGTTATTACCCTGCTAATCACTGCACGATACCGTAAATGCCCGTTCCGTTTCCCGCGCTGCTGACCACTCACTGGCGATTTTGAAACGACTAATACGCTGGTTGCAGCGGCAGTACTGTCAGCATTATTTCGGAACGCAGCCTTTTCAAGGCGGTTATCAGCTGACGAGAGCGAGTCTCGCGCTCGTGCGCCAATTCCGGACGTGAAAAGAAACGATTTCCTTCGGGTTCAGCTCTCGCCGCCCACGACCGACGCGGAAAAGGAACGACGGGCGCGTTATCATCGTGACCGCTGATAGACATGGGCTTTCGCTTTCGCGCTATTCTTCGCGCGCCTGGGCGATCGAACTCGATCGAGATCATACCGGTTTCGATTCCCGTGCGAAGATGGAGACGGCGACGGGATAAGTTGGCGACGCGCGTCGTCGTCTCTCAGCCTCGCCGTCCGCGGAGAGACGAAGAAATGCATAAACTTCCCAAACAGAGCATAAACCCAGTCAGAAGCATAACGTTGATTTGACGTTGAAATGAAACGTCGACGTTTCATGAAATAGTCGATGTCGTTAATTCAACTCTCATCGACGTCGAATCAACATTGTGGTTCTGACTGGAAGGGAAACCTCTTGAAAACCTCTTGAAAACGCCTGTGGGCCACATATGGTTGTATTTGGGTTTGGTCAGATTTGAAGTCTTAGACGTAGTTAGTAGACGCGAGTCTTCCAGTTGAATCGCCGTTTCAAATGTTTCTTCTTGCAGATATAGCGTAACGTACGTTGTAAGATTGTCCGAGAGATCTAACTTTGATTAAGATTTAACTCAGATCTGACTTCAAGGTGTCCGTCGTAGCAATCGTCACTTGAAACTTGTCTCCAGTGAAATACTTGAATTTAGACGTCAGTTTTCCAGTTTAATCGCGATTACATAAAATATGATTTCCTTGAGGAATCTAGCTGAATTAAAATCTGAGTATCTCAAGTGAAATAAATTTCATATGATAGTTATTAATAGTTTCGTTGTTTTTCGACGTCTCTAAGGCGGCGTCGAGACGTCGAAACGCCATCTGAGCGAGTTCCTCACGCAGCAATTAGCTGGAATTGCGTAGAGTCTCTTTGAATAAGCTGCACGTGCCGTTTTTGTTGACAGGCGGTGTCGCGACGGTACATAATTCATGAAACGTGAATTACACTTTAGGCGCGAGAGCGCTTATTTACGACCTGCGCTCGATCGTGCGCTGTAAGCTGCTATTATTCAGGGTTGGGAACTCGTCACTTGTAACGAAGTTACAATCACTGTTACTGTTTTTTCTTTTTGGTAACTATAACTTCGTTCCTTTTTTTCCATCTATAGCTGTAACTTAACTTGATTATATTTGTTTGATAACTGGCAACTAATTTAATAGTTACTTCAATGGTTACTTTGTATATTTCAAACTTAAGTTTCTGGCAGCAGATATAATCAACAAACTGCTTTTACATAAAATTGAAGGAATTTCCACAATTAAGCAATTTAAGATAATAGCACAATTATTGTAAAAAAAAATATTAGGTGTACAAATGAATAATCCAAATTATTTTAAGCAGTTATGAAATCAATTTTAAATTGAATAGATTTTCCCGCTCTTTTGTGATTATGCAATGTTGACATATAGCTATTAAAAAGAACATATAGTTTGGCGAAAGGCCCAACATAACCCTCAAAAGTATTCAGTTCAGTACAGTCGAAAATGGCAACAGATAAGGTGCATATCCGACACTGCATAACTGCATTCTTTACGAATTCCAACAACGAAAAAATGCTGTAAGAGCGTGCGAATCGATTTGTTCCTTTCTCGACGAAGGTGTTGTATCGTACGATGTGTGCGCATTTTGGTTTAAGCAGTTTAAAAGCAGTAATTTCAGTCTAATCGACAAACAACGCCCTGGAGGCCCTCCGAAGTGCGATAATGATGATTTGGAACAATTGCTCGCTGAGAATTCGGCACAAACACAAACAGAGCTTGCAGAATAGTTGGGAGTAACGCAGCAAACGATTTCCAAACGCCTACGTGAGATGGGAAAGATCCAGAAAGAAGGAAAATGGGTTCCGCATGAACTCACTGAACCAACAAAAATCAACGAGTGGCAGCGTGTCTTTCTCTTCTCAATAAGCAGCGTCGAAAGTCTTTCTTGTGGAAAATCGTTACGGGTGATGAGAAATGGAAATACTCTATGACAATCCGAAACACAGAAAGTCATGGGTAAATCTCGGCGAATCATCAAAATCGGTCGCAAAACCCAATCGCTTCGGAAAGAAGAAGGTTCTTCTTTGCATTTGGTGGGATATCAAGGGTATGCTTTATTATAAGTTGTTGGAACCGGGTGAAACCCGGCAGTTACTGCGGATTGCTACCAACGTCAATTAATCTGCTTGAGTCAAGAATTGAAGAATTGGAAAACGCCCGTATACTGGCAAAGGAAAACGTCCAGTGAGATTGTTGCATGACAACGCCAGGCCACACATTGCTTCCAATACAAAAGACACCATAATGAGTCTTGGCTGGGACGTCTTGCAGCACAGCCGGCGTATTCACCAGATTTATCATTCCATCCGATTATCACTTGTTCCGGTCGATGCAACACGCCTTGTCCAATATGCACTTCCAATCAGTGGATGAGATCCGAAAATGGCTTGACGACTTTATCGTGTCCAAAGACGTAACATTTTTCCGAGATGGAATTCATCAGCTGCCTGAAAGATGGCTGGAAAGTTATACAAAGCAACGGCGAATACTTTGATTGAACAATTTAATTTACTTTCTTTTAAAATAAACCTTGAATGTAGCTGAAAAAATTGGATTATTCATTTGTATACCTAATAACTGGGAAGTAACGATTCGTTACTTTCTGAATAACTGTAACTGTAATATGTTATTTTTGAAAGTCAGTAATTTGTAACTGTAACTGGTCATTTTTTCGGTGAAAAAGAACTGTAACTCTGTAACCAGATATTTTTATAAAATAACTTTCCCGCTATGATCATAGCCGTCGAGGGAGGCGACCTGCGTGCGCGTCAGGCCACGGATTTTTAAGGTCACGCCGATAGTGCTAATCGATGGTCCACAGATAAGGTGTGTTACTAGGTCAGCGTGGCCAAACTCGTATGCAGCGCGCGATAAAAGTCGAAAAACGGACGAAACGACGCGAGGGGAGAAACCGAATGTTCCATCCGAAAAGGGAAGGACGTTCCTCGGTCGGTCCTCGGAGCGTTGTTTTTCTCGAATTAATTTTAGCTCGGTTGTTTTCATGCGTGATTTATTATATCGTTGCATAAGTCACTTAAGACGGATCCGTTCAACGCGTTCAATTCCCAGACAAAAACACTGCGAAGAAAAATAAACACCTTATCAAAGCTGTCGTCCGTCGAATGTCGAGATTTCGTACGAAGCTGATCAAGTTGTAACTCGTGAATGAAAGGTCGCGCACAAACGTCGATTATGCAATCCGACAAGTTCGAAGAGTTTCTTTTTTAATTCGCGCATCCGCAGTTGCATTCTTCGCGTTTTTCCCATACGTAAATTCCAGGCGCAAAACTCGATCGGAAGATAAAACTGCCGCTATTTTTTATTCAACACGGCATATCTTAACGAAAAACATTAACAGTATTGCGCCCGGTTAAGGGCCGGTTGTTCCAACTTTTTGGTGAGTTAACTGATAGTTGAATCATATGTTTATTTTTGTTTTTCCTTCAATTTCAACGAAGACGGACACATGATTTAAGTTAATTTACCAAGGAGTTGGAGCAACTTGCCTTAACATATGTAAAACTACAGACATCAAGCTGCGAAATGTCTTTTAGACCATCTTGGTATCATAATTTTTGCCAAGTTGCAGCCCGTTGAATTTTGCCAAATTTTCACGACCGAGTAAGAAATAAATGTCGCGCTCACCGTTGATTTATACTACTGGAAAATAACGTACGTACAACTGGTACCAGAGCTGCAGTACGATGATTCTACATTAAGAACGCTGGCGACTCGTAGAGGCGACTTTGGAACTACACTTCAGAAGTACCACTAATCCGCTGGACCCGCTGATGAGCTCCCTGGCGCCATCAGTGTAACGAAAAATTAAGCACAAGCTCGAATCTCGGTTAAATAACTCGCTACAAAATTGAGAAATAATCTTCGTTGAATCCAAAGTCCACCTCCAAGGCCTGTTCATATTCGATAAGCCTTTGAATTAGTGCAATAAGTGCAATAAGTAATAGTAAAGAAGAGAAGTAGAAGAATGAAACAAGTTTAAGTCTCTTCCAACTCTAACTTTTGCAACTAGTACAATTGCACTAGAAATTCTTCGAGGACGAATATACCTTAAAAATAAAAGCAGTGTGTGATACCATTTTTAATTCTAATAAATAATTAATTTAAGAACTAATGCGTTAACTTTGGTAGTGTTTATATTCTATATCAGTCAGTTCTACAGCAGAAGCTTCTCACCTGTTGTTTTTGAATGCCCAACATCTAAAAGAATAATACAGTATTATAGAAAGAAAAGAAAATGAACGGATATAGAAAACATGTATTTGTATTCGAAGTAAATGTTTGACATATTAAATTTCGCTATCAATTCATATGCAATTTCTCTTGATAACCGAAAATGCATGATAAAATCTATATTATTATATCTTGTAATAATATTTTCAATATAATTAATGGTACTATAACATTCTCTTCTTCTTCTAAAAATTGTATTATTGCATTGTTTACACATTGTCTGTCCGCTATGTTAAACGCCATTTTAACTGTTGCATCACGCGTTCTTTTTAGATACACATATGTGGTCTGTTCTTTTTAGCTGCACTACTGAACTGGTGCAATAAGTTAAAGTGAGAAAAAATATAGTTGTCTCATTGCATTGCGGACCTAGTGCAATAAGTTAGAATGAGACAACTATATTTTTTCTCACTTTAACTTATTGCACCAGTTCAGTAGTACAGCTAAAAAGAACAGACCAATATATTCTTGAACTTGTTTGCACTATCCTGAACTTTTTTGAACCAGTTCAGTTTTAGTGCAGAATGGTGCAGAGCTAGATTATCTAAAAAGAACAAACCTAAAAATAACGATTTTCCGAAGAAAACCGGAAAATCGTCTGAAAAGTGAAATTCCCAGCACTATTCTGCATTGCGCAATAGAGTTTAACTAAAAAAAAAAAAAACAGACATGATCAGCTTTAACATCGTTCTGTTCGTTCTGACGGTGTTTCGTGCAATCGTATCATCCTGTGATTGTCAGTCCAAATGTGTGAGATTTAAAGACCAAGTAAACTTCACCTGTCACGGTGTACAGTACAAAAAGGTTTCTCGTGTTTTATCCAATATATATAGTTATACGACAGGTGACGCAAGTCAAATTCCAAAGTGCGCGTGCTCGTTTGTGCTTGTTCTTTCACAACCTATCACAAGTGCGTAAAATCCTAAAGTCATGCCGCCTTTGACGAATTTGCCGCCGATAACGAGGCTGTCCAACAAGATCATTCGGATTCTAGGATGCAATCCTGGACCGATGACTCTGCAAGGCACCAATACTTACCTCATTGGTACTGGGCGCAGGTAATAAATATTAATTTTCCATCCTTTGGAAACTAACCTTCACAACGACCACAGTATGTATATCATAAATGAAATCAATAAAAGAGCTTGACTCAACGTTTACTCGATACCTTTTCATATGCAAAAGATGGCTTAAGATATTAAAACGCTCGTCTTACAACGTGGTAAGAACAATTGTCGAAACGGGGCATTTTTCGAGGTTAGAAAGCAAAGTCTTGTCTTGCTTGCACTTTTCGCACTTAGAACGAGACAGACGCATATTCGAATGTCGCAGGAAATAAGAGCGCAGAAGTCGGGTGCAAAAAGTTCAAATAACATGAACAAATCTCTCGTATTACCTGTCGGTCTATTGGTCTGTTCTTTTTAGCTGCACTGCGGAACTAGTGCAATAAGTTAGAATGAGACAACTATATTTTTTCTCTCTTTAACTAATTGCACCAGTTCAGTAGTGCAGCTAAAAAGAACAGACCATTACGTAACACCGCACGCATGCGTGTAGTAGAAACTGCGCGCAAAATTTAAAATACGTCGATCTTCCAGGTGACAGTGAGTAAAGAGCTTTTATTATTACAGACGTCTGCTGATCGACTCCGGGGAAGCGAAAACAGGCGAGCTCTACACGAAGCTGCTGAACAATGTATTGTGCGAAGAAAACGCGACCATCGCACACATGCTGATCACCCATTGGCACTCTGACCACATCGGCGGTGTGGAGTCCGTGCGTGGCTTGCTGAAGAAACTATTTCCTGAAGACGAGCAACCCATCGTGTGGAAATTGCCACGTGCATTACACGATAATGAGAAATCGGAAAACGAGATGTCTGTCCAGTGGCAGCCGCTCAAGGATGAACAGGTCGTAGAGATCGAAGGAGCGAAGCTTCAGGTGAAGTACACACCCGGGCACACGAGCGATCATGTCTGCCTGCTACTACAAGATGAGAACGCCCTGTTCAGCGGTGATTGCATCCTCGGTGAGGGCACAACTGTCTTCGAGGACTTGCACGAGTACATGCTGTCGTTGAAGAAGATCCTGAAAATGGAACCAAAGACGATTTATCCGGGTCACGGACCAGTCCTGGATGATCCTCTGCCGCATATACATTATTACATCCAGCACAGGCAGCAGAGGGAAGCAGAGATATTACATACGCTGGAGCAGCAAGAGGACAACCAGCTCTTGACGGATATAGATATCGTCAAGCGGATATACAAGGTATACCAGTCGATGTCGATATCTCGATACTTATGCGATTGATTGATTCGTCTTAAAATAAACGTTTGCTCAGGGTACTTCTGAGGATCTGTTGTTAGCCGCGTCGTATACCGTGAGGCACCACCTCAGTAAGCTGCAAAAAGAGGGGAAAGTATACCAGAACGAAGATAGTGGTTGGCATGTAGTTAAAGGTAAACTATGAATCTTCCTTAGGTCCTTTGAAGCGGAAGGAAATGTAACACTAGCTGAATTGTAAGCTATTAGGAACAAAAGTGAAGGTAACATTGGAGAGGGATGAGAAGTATTTGCAATAGGGGTAACCTTGGGGGCACGAGGTCCAATTAACACGTAGATCGCTGTGAAACATTTATTATTCAACTCACAGGGGGGTAAATACATCGTTACGAATTTCTGTCAAAGTTAGGCTGATAACTGTTATTATTGATGTGCGTACAGCGAGAACAGTACATGTTGACGACAATTCACGGAGTACATATCGCAAGAGTGGTACACAAATTATCTTTCATGTCTAGGCGGTTTCATTAGTCATCGCGTGCGACTACGAGGCACATCACAACTCTTTCAATATAAAATATATATATATGTAATGTATATGTATATATGTGTATATATATATATATATATTTCTAGCTACAAAGACACGTTGTTGCTGCGACAATAAATGTTTCATTATATTTTTCATTATAAAATCTCTTTCCCTCCGCCCTTCGTATCTCTTTTTCTCTCTCCCTCTCTCTTCCCTTTCCTCTCTCTTCCCCCCTCCCTCCCTCCCTCTCTCTCTCTCTCTCTCTCTCTCTCTCTCTCTCTCTCTCTCTCTCTCTCTCTCTCTCTCTCTCTCTCTCTCTCTCTCTCCTCCCTCTCTCTCTCTCTCCTCTCTCTCTCTCTCTCTCTCTCTCTCCCTCTCCTCTCCTCTCTCTCTCTCTCTCCTCTCTCTCTCTCTCTCTCTCTCTCTTCTCCTTCTATTAGCTAATATAATCTTGGCGAGTATTAGCACCCCTCATCTTGAACAAGCGGGGAGACCCCGAAGAAAATTCGATGTTGCGATATACGTACACCGGCTGCCGCTAAAGTGCGAGGTGTTCGAAGTGCTTATAAACTTAAGGAGGGATCGATGGTTGAATGAATTTTCTACAGTATCTAAGAAAATGCGAGGATACACAATTATATAATTATTATATAAATACGAGGAAGTGTTGTAGGAACCATCGAAGCTAAAAGTTTAAGTATCCAATCAATTGCAACACGAAGGATTAGGCCTTTAAGAGCTTAAAATTCTAAAATTGGCAGGATTTAAGCACTTGACAATCTCAGAAATTCTGAGAACCGAGAAATCTACGTGATTCATAAAGAGTCCACAGGTCAAAGATACACAACAAATTTTGCTAACTCTCTATAACAAGTAACAAGTTACAAGTTTTACGGCGCGCTTTAGTTGCACCCGGTATAGAGTAATTGTACGAACATACATCTTTAATAAGCTCACTTTGCCATTTAAATCACCCTTTACTCTCTTTGGATAAACGTAAAAAATATATATTTATTTATATATATATATATATATATATATATGTATGTATATATATGTATCTATATATACATATATATATATATATTTGTATTTATACTATTTTAACTATTCTGACATACAATTTAATCTCTCACTCTCTCCCTTTCACTCTGTCATTTTTATTACACTATAAACTAGTAAAAACATCAATGCAATCACATAATTCTATCATCATCAATATACTAAATAACAAAAGAGAAGTAAAACAAAGACTTCAATTATTAAACAATATATATATATACTCTATATATATGTATACGAAATATATATATTATATGCATACTTGAGACACGCGAAGACCACAGTAACGAGATGATCCATTCTTTCGTAATGAAATCAAGTCAATAATGATTACTATAGTGTACTCGATAATTCATATAATTACACACGCTTCCACACTCCATCCCATCAGTTTTCTTTCTTCCGTTCATTTGCAAAAGCAAGAAATATATAACAGATTCCAAGGCTCCAAGTAGTACGAAATAGGAAACTCGGGAGGATTCTTCTTGACTGCCATAACACCTGCCCTTTAAATCTTCCTTTATTGATATTAGATTATTAATTAATTAACCCCAGAACGTGAACCTACAACTTCGCAACAGCGACGAATGAGATAAAAAAAAATATACACATACATATATATGTATGGGTCAGTTTCTCGCGAAAACAATTTTTGCAACACTTTCAATTTCTAACAAACTCTTCTGTTCTTTTATCAAATTTTTTCTTCTCGAAAGAGAAAAAATAAAGAAAAGCAGTTCAATTTCAATACTCGTTTATGAAACTTAACGTTTGAGGGTTAATTAATTTAACTGGTTATTCGAGTAAAGGGCGAATCACATTTGCATGATATCACTCGCACATCTCTCTATAAATCCTGCAAATAAAAAAAAGGATTCAAGATAGTAACTGCGACACGGGAAGGCACCTACTTGCGCAGAGACATCGCTGAAGATAAATAATGAATCGTCAGAACAATCGACAATTCGTAGAAAAGGAAGAACAAGTACAAGAAAGAAGAGGTGAAAGAGCAGAACGTCTGAATTGTCGCGCTTTCTCGTGCGCCCGTCTTATACTTAAGCGTTAATGGTTTTCAATCCTTAACAAGCTGCTGCTGCGGACTCGTGATAGTTACTTTTTTCCTCCGTAGACCGCAAAACGATTCGGAAGTACCTCCGAAAACTTCGGATTGTATCTTTATAACATATTGAACCCAAAGCTTGCTAATACATTTTTCCCGGATTATAGAATTAACGAAAATTAATAAAAGATTAAAAAATGCAAAGATTTAATAAATTAAGTATTGAGGGAATCTATTAAGTGTGGTGATCAAGAGATCTAACAATTCAAGGATATGAGAAAAAAGAAAAAAAGAAACTAACCTGTCATTCAATTACAGGAGCTGAAACCATTAAGAGATCTTTCAACATAATCTAGAGATTTAATAAAAAAAATTCTAAGTCCAGAAGATCCATAGATCTTATAAATATAAATAAGTCTAGAAATTCATTTATATACACATACATGTTCATATACATATTTTTGGCGATATGTGCATTTTACCAAGTCCAAAGTTCACATGGTACTTCCGCCTCTCTTTCTATGAAAGTGACTTTGCATCACGTTATAAATGTGGCACAGAATCGTCAGTATCGAGTTGATAACATAATCTTGAAAGCCGAATGGTCGAGTTTTAACTCTGAACAGTAGAAAACCTAGAAATTGCAAAAATCCAAAAAAAAAAAGGAAAAGAAAAAGTCATGCACTCAAAAGACCTCCCAACTGTTCAATGTCCTTCAGTCTTCGTATCTCGCATTTAACCGAACGTAATCATACGATTACTAAACTTCAGAGGTTACAGTTAGTTCTAAAGCAGAGCTCGGCAAAGTTTACAACTTTCGGCCGATTTTCGGAAGCTACGCCTTCTATCTCCCCTTACCGCGCGGCGGATCCATCAACTGACGGTCGCGGCTCGCGACCTCAGGACAGTTCAGATCATAAGGCGCATCTATGTGGTGCCTACTAAAGATGCGTTCGGGGAGCGCGTCGATCAGCGCTAACGCATTATTCAATCCTTGTACATGTAATGAGCGATAAAGATAGAATAACGTGTTAACGTTGACAACGCGCTCCTTTAACGCACCTCAAAGGCTGAAAAATAAATGTATCGATACAACTTTATGTATAATATTTCGTACAAACATGTACAAATATACACTTGTATAAGTATATATATTTTTTTTTTCTTATATTTTTGTAATTAGAAGGTAACATTAGGTAACAATAGGTTTCCTTGTCACCCATGAGGTACTATTGCCGACGCGTTTTTTTTTTTAAACCACATAGATGCGCCTTATGATCTTAACGGTCCTGAGGTCGCGAGCCGCGACCGTCAGTTGATGGATCCGCCGCGCGGTAAGGGGAAATAGAAGGCGTAGCTTCCGAAAATCGGCCGAAAGTTGTAAACTTTGCCGAGCTCTGTTCTAAAGAAATACGTTGAAAACTAAGCAAAAATGGAATTAATGGTTTCATTCGATTCTCCTCGTTAAGACCGTTAAAACTATTAACCGTCGGTTAATAGTTACCTTAAAGCCTTAGAGCAGCTAACTTCGCTGGTCACTTTGACCATCATAACCATCGAATTGATCCCATATACTACATATCATTGGAATCGTCTCGGCAAGGAAAATCGAATGAAACCATTAATTCCCGATTCTATTGTTCGCTCAGTTTTCAACATACTCCTTTGAGGTACGAAGACAGGACCTTAGGCTTTCGCGTCGTTCGGGAAGAAATTCGCAGAAAAAAATCATCCCTCCGCCTCTCACGAGGAACATGGCAGTACTACATGAGGAATCCGCCTTGCGGGTCGAAGCAGCTGGGATTGATGTAACTCAGAAGGTCGTGTTCCGACATGGAGGTGAGTTCTTGAGGCAACATCCCGTCCTCTGGCTTCCTACTGGCCGCACTACTCGCGGCGGTATTAGGAATCGAAGCGTTCACAGCCTGGCGATTCGGTGTGACCGGGAGCGTGACCGGCGGCGACTTATTGGCGACCTGCTCAACGATATTGCTCTGCGCCGAGGGCGACTTCGGCAGAATACCCTCCATCGCGCTGTTCATCAGCTGGGCGCTTTGAGTCGCCACGCTGTTGAGAATCTTCTTCGTGGCGATGATCGCGTGAGCAGTGGTAGTGCTGATCGGTCGGTTATTGATAATATCTTGCGTGGCGTTGGTGATGACGTTGTTGATAGCTTGCTCCGCCGCGTTGGTCAGACGCTGCTGAGAAGGTTCTTGGGCTGCACCGCTGGCCAATGCAGAGCTTGCCTCAGCTACGAAGCCCGCTGGCTGATTCAGCATGGAACCGATGTCTTGTTGAACTGCCTGTTGCATCGCTTGAGCTGCCTGAGCTTGTTGGACAGCTTGCTGCACTGCTTGAACCTGGAACATTTTTATCTCAACGTTAGTTACTAAGAACATGTGGAATTCTAATAATCTGACAATCTAGTAACTAATTTTAAAATAATAACGAATAAATATAGATTGTAGATTTTTAATAAATAACTTGTATATAATGTATACGTTAGAAAATGTGGAAATTCAGAGATCGTTTCGATCAATCCTGGCAATTTGATTTCTAATTGCTAACCTGTTGCACAACTTCTTGCGTCGCTTGCTGGACCGCCTGCTGCACTACCTCCTGAGTCGCCTGCTGCACCGCTTGCTGCACAGCCGGCACCGCTTGAACCTGCTGCACAGCCTGCACTTGTTGTACCGCTTGCTGCACCACTTGAGCGTGCTGCACCACTTGCTGCACCACTTGTTGCTGGGCCTGTTGTACCGCTTGTACCGCCTGTTGCTGCGCTTGCGCGACGACTTGCTCGACCTGTTGCTGCGCCTGTGCTACCACTTGTTCCACCTGCTGCACTTGCTGTTGCATCACGACCACATCTTGCTGTGTGAGTGCCTGGATTTGCTGCTGCATATGTTCCGCCGTGACTGCCGGTATCGCATCGCCAGCAACCTGGAAAGGAACAGACTGAAAAGTATTTTATTTATATTATTCCAACTTCATCGCCGGCAAATATCCTAATTTCCTTTATTCTTCTTCCAGCGTCCGCGCCGGTGAGACTAATGAATAAACGACATTTACCGTAGAATTCGACGTAGCGGTTGCTGCGGTGACCTGGGCTTCCGGCAATGGCGGTAATAGCGCCGCATTAATGGTAGTTAGCAGGCTGTCTCCCGTTTGTTCCACTGTTGCCGCAGACGACGGCACCGACGTCGCACCCGCGGCTGCTCCCAATGGTTGCAACGCCTCCAGCAGCATCGTCTTTACCGGAATCGGTGGGCTAGTCCTAGTCTGCTGGCCGCCGCCGATAGCTTCGTGCTCTGACGTCACGTGACTCAATATTCCTGTAGGATTGGGGTTCACCGAGCGCAAGGGTGAAACCATTTGTTCTGTGGTAGAGTTTACCAGGGCGTCCAGTTTCACTGAAGTTTGCCCTGAGAATGGTAACAAGCGTATATTAATATTTTATAAATTTTATCGTCTTAAATAATACATAGAATATCACTATTTTAGACTATCTTACAATATACATTAAATATATAAAATAATATTATATTTTTATGCAATATCCTACCTGCAGTAGTTAAGATTCCCGGAGGAGCCGCCGGCTGTTGGCCGCTTCCTGAGATGATGGAAGCTCGTTGCTGCTGGATAGCAAACTCATTCTCGGGACTAGCAGGCTCGTCGCTCGCGGTCACCGACGATTCCATATGATTCAGGTACTTGTCCACTACGTGACTACTCGGTGCAGACAACGACTGCGTCGCGGGTGCGCCCGTGAAACTCGATAACGCACCAAAGTCCGGTTGATGATGATGATGCTTCATGCGAAGGTCCACCACACCGGCTCCCGGAAGAGCAGTTGCATTGGAACTGTTCTCTGTTGGCAAGACGTCGTTTGTTTCTTTGAGACGATGAGGACTAAGAACTTGAGCCTGAGCTGACTCGTGTATTCCTATAAATAATTAAATAAGCAATCGAAGGATGTTCACAGTCGAGGAAATTTGAAGGATGAATAAGGATGATGAAATCTTTATTTAAAGTCAGAGTCATTCCCATTGTCTTATAACTTATCGTTATGAATCTAGTTTGATTTAATTAATAAGTCAAATTAAGATTAAGATTCGATCAATTAAGAGATCCGATAGATTGGAATTGAATATAACTTTATAGAATATTAAATTACATTAAATATTGACTGACTATCTTGTCTGTCGACTTTTGTTTTATCGAATGCCGATCTATATTGTGCAAATAATTTATTATTATTAAAGAAAAAAGATTGCTGTACCCACCTGCAAACGGAGTCTGATGGTGTGTATTCACCATCGACAAAGGATGCTGATTACGCATTAGATCCACCACCCCGAGAAGACTCACAGCTTCTCGTGCGGGACTGTTGTTGGCCGCTGCAGCGACGGTTCTGATAATATCAGCTTGCGAAGGTGCGGCCTCTCTAGAGTTTTCGTTGACAAGCTGCTGGAGAGGAGAGGCAACCGACGTCGGTCCATTTGTGGCAGCCGTAGGCGTCGGTATGCTCTGCATGCTGTTTTCGCTCAACATGCTGTTCTCGCTATTTTCGTCCAACACCTCTGTCTTGAGGTTATCCGGCAAGATCAACTGCAGATTCGTCGAAGATCGTCGGTTCAATAGCGGGTTCGCCACGAGTGCCGGGGGTGGCATCATGACTTCGGGTGGTGAGTTTGGGTGGCAGTTGGAGGACTGTGAGGCCCACATCATCACAGGTGTCACCTGGGACGCCGCCGCTGCCGGCGGTGGGCTCGGGTCGTTCTTCAGAGTCTCCGAAGTGGCTTGCTGCGGCGGAGTCTGAAGGCTCGTCAGGAAACTCGCCGGCCCGGCAGCTGCTTGCGTTATCAGAGCTGAGGAAATGTGTTTACTGTTTTTCATTCCGAATACCATACAAACCAAGATATTTATTTAATAGTCATCCAGAGATGACGATGTAAAGGTATGAGTTTAAACGAGAATTAAAAAATCCAGAGAGATTGAGGATTGTAACGTCTTCGATACTATCAAGAAATTGAAACCCGAATATTGATTGGTGAGCTTATAATATATAGTTCAACAAGAACTGACCTGAGCATTTAGTGATCTAATTTAAACATACTGAGAGGTTCGATTATTTCAAATATCTACAATCTGATACATTCTTACTGAGCGTGATCGTTACATATATTATTACTATCGACGAAATTAGAGCAACGTTTCACGACGTAAACGTACTGTTCGATGCTACACCCGTAGCAAGCGGCACCGCGGCGGAGGAGGTCGTTAAGTTGGCGTCGCCGTTCGTGAGCGGGGGCGAGATGCATTCGACCTTGCCCATGGACGGCTCTGGGGGTGTGGAAGCGGCCGTGTAAAGGAAATTATGCGGTTCGCTGGTCTTGCCGGAGGACACCGCGTACAGTTTCACGCCAACCGTCTCCGTGGGTGCTAGATCCTGCCTGCGGTAAGCCGGCACTACGCACACCAAGTGTGTTTGCTGCAAAAATTCTTTGTCTGGCAGCACAGCGCATTGCCAGTGCGGCTCCAGACTACTCGACAGGTCATCGTTATCTAGCTGAAAGACCACTCTGGTGTCTTTGAGGAAGTTCTTGCCCAAAATGAAGAGCTCCAGCCCGCCTGTGCACGGGCAGGACGTCAGAGATTTCTTACAGATCTCCGGGATCCCCGGTGGTTGAGCTGCGTGCACATTAAAGTTTCACTCAGAGTAGTATATATTATTTAGCAATCCGCTGAGAGTAACTTACTATTTCGTCTTTACTCTCCCACTGTTTAATCTATTATTTCCCTAGATATAATCCTTCTCTCAATTGACTTACTGCAAACTATCGGCTGCGAGCAAATTTGCAGAGTCTCCGTGGTCCCGTCAGCATGCGTGATAGTCGTGCGGAAGATCATGCGACACCGCGTGGACTTCTTCTTGCTTCTACCCTGAAGCACTCCAGCTTCCTGGGGGAACCTGTGCTCCACGTCGACGTTGCGCTCCTTCAGAATACCCACGCAGTCGCAGGTCACCAGCATCTCCTTGGCCGGGTCCATTTCAACCTCGATCACGATCGTCCCGTCGATCTTGCGCTCTATACAGGGCGTCGAGTTCTTGCCGCTGACACGGCACGCCTGGTAGAACATATGGGGTGCCACTCGACCCAGATCGGTGCCGATGAACACCTGCAAGCTCGTCGGCTTGTCGTAGCCAATCAACCGGACGATCGGGAAGCCATTTCCGGCACGATCCTTCACCGCCCCCCGTGAGCCTTCGGTCTGATAGCGGGCACGGTGTTGTTGTTCAGGTTGGCAGATGATTTGCAATTGGATTTTGCCGTCGGCAGAAGTATTCGCTGGCGATCAGAAAGGAAAATAACGTGCACCACAGTGTTGGACCAATGTCCCACATTGCGGGGCTTATTTGGGCACTCAGGTTTGCAGAATAATTTACGGTAGGTGCAAGTCGAGTGATTATTTTGAGAGGGCTTTACATGTGTATATTTTTATTGTGTGCGTGTATGTATGTGCGCGGGCGCGCATTTAAATTGTTGATATTTTTCAGCGATAGAATGTTTACCGCTTGGATTATTGGAGAAAAGCCAAAAGAGGACAGATGCATCGCGTTTGGAGCTAATCCAATAGTAAACTAGGCACTTGATAAATTACTGAGAATTCGTGACTATTTAGAGATCTAGAAGAGAAAGGTTCGCGCGAAAGCTGCTGGCAACTAGAAACGTTAAAACTCAAAAGTTCCGTTCTAAAATGTTGACAAGCTGGGAGAAGATGCTTCAGAGAAGTTATTCAAAGGTTTAAATGCGAAAAGTGCAAATTTTTAAAAATTCCTGCCTCTTCCCCGTGGAAACACAATAAGATAAAACTGTCTGACGGATAAAGGTCTGACAAATTTATAAGCTCCTAAAACGAAAAACTTGAAGCTTAAAAAATCCAAGATTATAAAGCGAGCCGATCCATTTCGCCATCCGTATCGCGAGCGATCTGATCCATCATTGGACAATTCATCACGAATTCTCAGTATCAGCGGACACTTCACAATGCACTAGTTCCATCCGTCTCATCAGAAGCAATTTATCATGAGCAATTTTTATGATTCAACCGTTTATGATGAACCATGTTGTTTCTCACCACTCGCCGTTTATAAATACTCTGACCGCAGCCATGCTCGTTCGTCTG